TGGGTCCAGACTTACAAGCACGTCCCTGTTCCGTGAAGAGCAACTCGTGTCGGGAACTTTCTAATAGAAGTACATGATATCATGGCGAGTTTGGGCTCGTTTCTACGGGCGTTCCGCGAATCATGGTCATTTGCATCCATTGCTGCAAGAGAGCTTGAAGCGCACCAGTTGAAGCTGGCTAGAACTTTGCGTGAAGAGCTCGGCGCTGTCCGAAGCAGCATTTCCTTTGCCAAATCACCGAGCTGTAGGTATGAACGGTACAAGAGCATTGCCGAATGTCAAAATACATTCAAAAGCATGCTAGAAGACGAAGCTTTTCATGTATCTTCTGTATATGTCTGTCGTTATATAACGCAACGGAACCGGAGTCGCCTCATCGATTCTGGTGGTTCCGGCGCCGAGGAGTTTGCCAACTTCCGCGGGGCGTCCAAGGAGAAGAAGAAGAAGAAAAGAGACGAGAACCGCGAGGCTACCCTTGTTCCAGGTAGCGTGCGATATTTAATTGGTGCCAGCCTTAAGGGGGGGGCGTGTATGTTTTCTTCTCCGTAGCAAGAGACGTACACTGCGAATTAATCAAGATAATTTTTTTATATTTCTTTTTTCTTTCTTTTTTCTAATGTTCTGAGGAAGGTCGATCGTTTGATCCATGATTTCAGGTCCCCAGTATCAAGGCTAAAAGGAGGTTTCTTTTTCAAGGGTCTGGGTTGTCGTCCTTTGGCTCAGTCTCTCTTACAGCTTCTTATCTAGCCTCGCAGCGGGGGGGGCGTGTGAAGACGGGAGATCAGTTGCCGACCCTGCGCTGTCGACGAGGGTCATTGCCGAGGATAAGAAGAAAAGGTTTCCATATAATCTAGTGCTTCCACCTGTTTCACTATGAGAAAAGAACTACTACTATGCAGACATCTTCAATACAAGCACTTCACATTTACATGCTCCTGTTTGTACGGTCAAGGCGTGTAAGACACAAGGTGACAAGAGTATGAAATCAGGGAATAACATGGGAAAAGAAGACGGGACTCTGCTGTGTCCGGAGCTAGGCCGAAAGAGAGCAACGGAGGAAACGCCTCTTCGGCTACGTCACCGAGCCGGACTTCGCTTTTATTAATCCTCCCCCAGTATTATGTAGTATTACTGCTACTCGTCAAGGAAGAATCCGTCATTGTGGGAAAATCCATCGATATCAGCAGCCTGGAGCAGCAAATGAAAATGAGGCTCATGACCAGAGATGGTCCAGGCTAGGGAATCTTCCGGGTGGCCATTTTTTCAATCCTGAGATGGTGGGCTGCATCACGATGGATTGGGGGGGGGGAGGGAGGGAGAGAGAGAGAGAACCTGGATGGAAGAGCTGGAGAAGAATGAGCGTTGTATCATGGGAACTCGATGTAAATCCGATGGGTTCATGATGCGATCGCCTTTTACCCCGAACGGACATTGCGCTTGTGTGTGTGTGTGTGTTTTTGCAGGGTTCAGTTCGCTGCGGAATTGGCCAGGCCGAGCCGTGTCTAAGTCAGACACAAAGAAAGGCCAATGCAGTTCTCGATGGTCTTGTCTCTCTCACGTCTGAGCCCCGTATGAGCGGCTTCTTGATGCCAATTTATCAATGCTTTATATCTGCGCTCTTTTCTTGCGTATCGAATAATAACGTCTCCTTTATTTCGGCATGGCAAATAGACCAATTGCGACCTTCTTTTCAGCTTTCAGCTTGTTGCAATGTCTCAGCGAATCGAATGCACACCCCCCCCCCAATCTGCCCCCTTCCCACCCCTTTTGGGTCCCAGGCACACACCCCTTCGCATCATGATTGATCGTCGATCGTGGCTTCTCATTGACACCCCCTGCATTTCCTCTTGTGCCCGTTCTCCGGCACGGCTTCAAGAAGCGCTCCGTCGGGCGGTGTTTGCCGCAACTTCGACAGCGCGAAGGAGGGGGGGGAAGGGGGACGGGCGCCTCTCCTCAACAAGGCAAACATACTTGCTAGCAGTACTGCTAGTAGTGGCTCACTTACATGGACATTCGACCATACCTAGACTGCATACTACTACCACCAATAATACGGTGCAAGACCATGGACCATGTCACGCAGCCCCCTTGGAAAGAAGCCGAAGCCAGTGGAGCGGCCTTTCTTGCATCTCCACCATCACCGACCCTCGATCTGGTTTCCGTGCGTGTTGGTGTTCTTCCTGCTTCTCCTAGGGCTGGGAGGAAGCAGAGAAGCTGACTGGTCAATTGGGATCCCAACGAGCCCCTCGGAGTCTCCGCGGAAATCCTCTTGGGGTGTTCTCGCGTGACCTTTTTCATATCAGCCATTCATGGGCCCATCATGCAAATCCGTTATATTCTCATATTATACTACCTCCCACATTGCTGTCGTATCGCCCTATGACTGTACGAGTTAGGCACCGTTGCGCTTAGAGACATAACCCGCGGGGATTTTTGGTGATGGGCTCGCTCAGGAGGTTAGACGATGGGATTCCTGTCGCCTTGGTTTCTTTTTTTTTTTTCCTGCGAAACCAAATCCCCTTTTCGGTCTTGTCGCTCAGTCTATGACTCTGACTTCCAAACTCCTCCTGCATGGCAGGACATAGTCCCAACTCATCTCCTATCTCCGCCATCGTTTAAAAGCTTCTGTAGCTTTTGCCGTTCCGGCACCGACATCCGTTTGAAGGCATTCAGGATGCAGTCTTTGCTCTCTCTCATGGTTCGATTATGTCTAGATAGCGTATACTAAAACTGCAGCCTCGAAGCCCGGGGTGGATCTGATGCAGAATTGACCTTCTTTTGTCTGTTCCCACGGTTTCAATTGCCGATGCCACCCTTGGGTCCGCGTAGGGCTTTCGTCTAAGACAAAAGAGCATGGAACCCTGTTCACGATGCTAACAAACCGGCTTACACCAAATCCAGCTCCTACGCAAAACGCCGAGTCATGCACGAGGGCTTCCAGAAAACAAATCAAGAAAAGACGAAATATCTCCGTAGGCGGCAAATGCCTCTCTCTCTCTCTCTCTCTCTCTCTCTCTCTCTCTCTGCCCAGTTAGAAAAAGAGCGATGCGGATCTCCGAGACCGGGGGCAGTTGAAAGCCGTGCCGCTCCCGAACCGAATCGTTGGACGGTCTTTTGGCGCCGGATCCGCCGACCTACCTCTTACGCCCGGGTTATGAAATGCGGGATGCAGCTTGACGTAACATGCCTCGTTTCTACTTTAATCGAGATCACAGGATCAAAGCAATGCGTTTTTTTTCTTTCTTTCTCTTCTTGTTCTTACTGCTTGCTTGTTGAGGACGTTACATGTTGTTGAATGTGAGTTCAAAGTCGGCTTCAAGTCGGTTGTAAACGCGGCCTCTCTCTCTCTCTATATGCCAATGCGAGTCATGGTGTAAGCCAAGGCTTGTTGTTCGAGACCAGAGACGAGGTTCGATGTTGGATGAAGGTTTTGTCTGTGTTGTCATGTTTGGGTGTGCGTGCATCAGGGGTACGTTTGACTCTGGGTGAGTGATGGCTTGCAGCTACGAACCTTGAAATCATTTATTTAATAATTTATCGCCTTTATTTGGGTCAAAGTTGCGCTGTGTTCGAGAAAGTTGCATGTTGCTTCCACGAGGCTCTCGCCCGAAATCTCAGCCTTCCACCCCCTACGCCACGAAGCAGCCAGGCGAAGATGTTCCGGGATGCCATTCTATTACTCGAGACGACATGATTGTGCCCCTCGATCGAACCCCCCCCCCAATGATGCTGGCAGCCTTATAAGGCACCAAAACACAACCTCTCAAGGTTCTCACGTTCGGTGCGATTTCGGTGCTGTGCCTTGTCTTTAAGAACAAGCGTTCAGCCTTGCGCGGCTGTATCCTGTCCCATTGGTGGAATGGGGCATGTTAAGGTAGCCTTTCCTGCAAGCCATCCGAGGTGGCGGCGGCAGCCATCTTGGGGAAGAAAAGAGGGCATTGTACATACAGCTCTCAGGACGAACAATTGCTCAAAGTGATCACAAGGTTTCGAGGGGGCGCGCGGGGGGGCAGCTTTGACAAAGGGGGGGGATGGAAATGTCTGGATCAGGAATTGGCTAGAAGCACAGAAGACAACTTTGGGCGATGCGGCGTCAGCCCGTGGCATGTGAAGAAACTGTCTGACGACTGGTGATTGGAACGCATCAGACGTGTCATCGACTTTGACCAACTTGGACTTCTTCATCCTACACGTTCTGGGCATAGCCACCACTGGCGTTTGCGCCAGATGCTCGTCTCGAGATGGCTTGCTCAACAATATCGATAACCTTTCCTCCGTTGCAGTTTGACAGCTCTCGAGCCAGTCCCTGTTTTGGTAAGAGACACTTCTCAGTACAACCACCGACAGCAGAATGATGATTGAGATGGGGGAAAAAGAGCTGCAATGGATCTTGAGTGGCGCTCTCATAAGGCTCTCGTTACACTTCTTCTTCCTCACTCCTCGGTGTTTCTTTGTTTCGTCCTCCTCATCCTTTCCTCTTTTTGTTATCGTAACTGGATATCCCTCAATTCCTTCCTCTTCCTTCCTCTTCCTCTTCTTTCGTACCAGTCTTCTCCTCGTCCTTTATCCGGACCTTTCTCGTTTCTGTTTTCCTCATCTCATAAATGCCCGAGTCTGACCTTTCCACTTACTGACTCCCCAACAGATCTTCTTCTATTCTGTGGACTCAACAAAAGCTTCTCGCATATTGCTTTGCACAGCATCGGGTGGTCGAGCGGAGTATGTCTCTTGTCAGTGGCAGCTGAGAGCGCAATTTCGTTTCCGGTGACTTTCACTGTGATTATCGATGCACTACCAAACTCATGAGGCATGTCAACTGCAGTTGAACTATCGACATACCAGCTCAGCTCGAAGACAGAGGTTATGCTTAAGACTAAACAATGTTCAGCAGGGCGGCAGCAGCAGTCCGAACACCTCAGTTGGTCACCCTGAAAAAGACAGATACGTTCAAAGTGAAGAGCTCTCCGGCAACTCACCGACAGCGGCCTCGTCTCAAACCATCACACATCCGTATAGGCAATCATTGGTGGATTCTCCAACTCACAGACGGCCCATGCCCACGCCGCGCTTGAGTAATAGTTGAACAGAAGCGCCATGCCATGTCCATAGTCCGCCGGCAAGAACACGTCAGGGTCGACGCTCTTGGCCTTTTCCACTGCTTCTACTGTCGCAAGAGAAAGGAAATGTTCTCTGCGCGATCCACGTGGTAGATTTCTGCTGACGTGTCAACATAGCTCCAACCTCCCCCGTATGACAACGGTCGACGTACAGAGCGTTTCCAAAGATACCGTGACACAGACTCGGTTCCTTCCTGAGCTGCCCCTGCCTCCAGATGGCTTCTTGCCCTCGAGCTATCGCAGCATCGATTTCGTCGTGAAGCTCGGGAAAGCAAGGGCGCATGGCATGAAGGGAATATAGAAACCCAGGGGCACCGTGGCACCACTGTACCAGACTTGGATGGCGGGACTCGTCGATTTCCCTGGCTATGGGCCAGTTGCCGTCTCTTTGGAGGCTGAGCAGCGCCCGAAGTTTGGGCACCAGCTTCGGGGCCAAGGCAGGGGTCGTGAGGGCGAGCTGCGTCACGATGCCAATGTCACCATGGCCAGCACCGAGGTACTTCTTCTTGTGGAACGTCCACCCGCCCTCGTCTCCGTCGATACTGTCGGCCAGGATCTTCTCGGCTACCTGCGCAATTGGGCCCTCGAGAATGGCGGCACAGTCTGGGAGTTGATGACGCATCAGGCGCATGAAGTAGAGCGTGCCAGCTCTCCCCTGCCATATCTCTGATTCGAAAGGATCCTTTTCTCCATCCGCATAGGGACCGACGACTGTTGGAATGTTGGACAAGAAGACTTGTACATCGTTTGCGTCCTGGCTGATGCAGGCCTTGAGTGCCTCGTACGCCAGCTTTTCGCAACTTAGCCCGACCCTCGTGCTGAGGGCCAGTTCCCCGCGATCTGCCTCCAGGTATCTCTTGGCCCAGTGCAGCAGATGGTGATCCGCCACCTGGACGTCCGGATACAGGTTAGCGAGGCGGAAGAACAGGTAGGCGATGCTGGTCGGCCCTCGAATGAAGCCGCCATGTTGCGCCGGATCGAGGTAGGCGGGCTGAGGAGGCGTCGTCTTGAGAATGTGCGCCAGGGACGACTTCATTAGCTGGAGGGGCTCGCGGCCCAGCGCCTGCAGCGGCAGGTCGTTTGGTATGTACTTGGGCGCCATGGCGGATGGGATCTGAGCGGCGAATCTTGCTTCGATCTGAATATATCGTTGGTGGGTATTGTTGCGGTGCCTTGTGGAATGCGATGTGGAAGCATCTACCTAGAATTGAGGCTATCTGCTACCCTGGACAGAGGCGGAGGAGGACGGGTTTAGCATGATGCAGCTAGATCCTCGAGGCTTCATGGCGGCCCCTCGGTTTCTCCGTTTGGGGTGCTTGTTCAATCTGGTGTCTTTTGGACGTGCCGTCTGTGAATCACTGAAGATGCAGTAGGTAAGGTATGTAGAAGTTCTGGCGGAAGACACGTATCATCAACTACCTTATGTCAATCTGCGGTCAGAATAAGATCGCAGCTATGAGCAGATCGCGGTTTCCTTGTAAGAGGTCGCCCCACCCGCACATGCCAATGACGACATCATTTCGCGCATCGTCGCTTCCAGCTAAAAAGCTCCCCGCGTCACCACCTCGAAGCTTCAACCAGCATCTCGTCACCTTTGCAGCTTGAGCTTCCTGGAAGTCTTTATCCTTTCGTACCTACAACCAGCACAGCATTCCATTGCATCTCCAGCTTTCGACTCAGCCCGGATTCAGCATTTTCTACTCTACAGCATCTCTGGCCTCCAATGGCTGAATCATCAGAGAAGGACTCGTCCCTGCTGCGGAATCGCGTCGTCGATTCCATCAGCAGGAGGGCCGAGAATGTCATGTGAGAGGTGTCCAGGTCTCAATATGCGCCAGGTGGCTGACAAGGACCAGCAAGCACGACTATGACAAAGCCAAGGTCATGGCCTCTGATGCCGTCCAGAGCCAGGCATATCTCTATCCCATCAAGGTGTGCCTACGTGATATTAAACCGCCATGAGCTTCACAGCATTTCGGCCTAACACCAGCATGGCAGGGAATCTTCTACTTCCTCAACCATCGGAGCTTGTGGAAGCCGCTGCTTGACCGTGTCCTTCCCTATGGCATCCTCAGTGTCTCCGTAATTGGCACCATGTTTGCCGTTGCGTATCTGCCGCAGCTGGCTGTTCTCGTGCTCTTCAATGGCCCGTTGGCAGTCCTCTCCACAGTACTCCTCACGCTCAACGAAAGTGCCATGATCATCCACCTGATCTCCCGCAACTGGCTGCTCCAAGATGCACTCCTAGATACCTTTGATGGCACGCTGGTTGCGCGAAACGCAACCGCCGTCGTTCAGCAAGGCCGCGAGGTGCGCCCAGGAAGCGATCCGATCAAGAAGCTGGGCAAGGTATTCAAGAAGCGATTCGAGAGTATTAGTCTCACTTCAATGATCCGGAGTCTGATGTACCTGCCTTTGAACTTTATCCCTGTCGTGGGCACCCTTACTTTTATCTTCCTCAACGGTGGGTGTAGCCATATTTCGGGCTTGCGGAGGCGCTCTGCTAATGCCTCACACAGGTAAACAGAGAGGCAAGGTTGTGCATAATCGAGTATGTTGTTACCTCTCACGAATATCGCCAAAACGCGCTCGCTGTGCTAACTGCGTCAAGTACTTTCAACTCAAGAGCTGGTCCGAGCCACAGAAGACACAGTGGCTCAAGAGTCACAGTGGAGCTTATGCATCGTACGTTTTCCCCTGAACTGTGCTGAAGATCTCCCACTGACTGCATTGTCCCCTCAGCTTCGGCCTCGTCGCAACCCTTCTTGAGATGATTCCCGTGGTGTCCGTCTTCTTCTCTTACACAAATACCGGTATGTCCATGACATGGTGCTTAGATTTGCGCCGATACTAACCTGACTTTCTTAGTTGGTGCTGCCCTTTGGGCTGCTGATATCGAACATCAAAACAATGCCATGGTCAAAGAGACTGCCCCTAACCTGAGGCAGGCTGCTGAGAGCGCCGAGTGAACTTTCGGGCTCACCGTCAACCGGAGAGCGTTTTCTTTGTCAAACAGAATGCAAGAGCAGTCTTGTATCGTGATACAAGCAGCAGTCATTGCAATGTTTGCTGCCGGGATATCCACCGCTGCATCCATTGGGGCGACCGCCTACCGGACACGGCAGGATCGTCTACTTATGGATTTCCAACAAGCACTCGTACTCCGTGCAGGCGACTCGAGATGCTTGGAATCACAAACAGCCTGACGCAGCCCAACTGTTTACACTGGTGGAGGCGCCTCGCAAACTAGGGTCGTAGTATTAGCATAGGAATAGGAGCGGCCAGATTCTGGTGTCCCATGAGACACTTTCAGACGAGCAATATCGTTCAGGAACATACCTCAGCCAGGGCTGAGTGCTTCATTCGTGGCAAATTAGGCTCTCGGTCTCATACTGTCTTATCCTGTTGCGTGCTAACATCATGTCTTACTGGACGGACGCTCTTTTCGTCTCTGCTCTTAGGCTGCTCTCAAGCTTCCTTCGTATTCATAAAGCCGGGGTGTTTGCACAGCCAAGCCGTAGCGGTCCAAATTAAGTTGAAACAACGGAAAGGAATAGCTGGACAGGGGCAGAGCCATGGGAAAACGCATGGAAGAAGACGTGGAGCTCCCGGAACTCCCTGACTCCCTCCCGCCGCTCAACCTGCTTCTGGCGGATGTTACACTCGTCTACACCTGCAGCTAGGCTCTTGGAGTAACACGGGCTCATTGTTGTGAGGGGGGCACAAGACGCCCTGTCATTATGCGGCGAGGCGTGTGCGAGGATTCCTGGCGGGAAGGCAAACGATCGAGTCTAACGTGGTCCTCATCTGGCGAGATGGCGGTTGCATCGTTCGGCCTAGATGAGAGCTGATGACAGAAGGGAGAGCTACTTATTAGGGTGGCGACGGGGTTGTCTGTGTTGGAACCATTGTTATCAACGTGGGTTTCCGTTGTGTGACGATGGGGACCATTGCGGCGTCGATGATCCCGCGATATCCTCTTTTGTCTGTATCGAGGACGTGCTGGGTGGTAAGATGGGGTCTGTTTTTGATAACAGGGTTGCTCAGAATCTGTGTATGACCTCGATGAACGCGACGAGCTGGTCAGACCTGGATGGTTACCGATGAAGACGGTGGGGGACCTTCACAACATTCACTGCTTCGTCGCATCTGATACTAACATGTCCTCATATCTAGACTTGATCAGTCGGGGGGACGACGATCACGATGGCTTCCTGGAGAGGCATCCACATGCCTATCTCAACACCTCATCGTTTCATATCGAATCACTGGGACGTTATCGGATGCTCTCTCGCCAACTCCCTCCCCGGTCGCTCACACCAAGTCATCGGCACGGGTCCGCTGCCCTCGAGGACCGTCGCACAAGACCGGGTTTACCATGGTGCTTCTCTGCAGAAACAGGGACAGGCACGGAGCCATATCGCCAGATGCCCCGGATCTCAGTACCACTTACTTCCCATCTCGCACTTCTGCAGGATCTCACTGCGCGTTGCCGAAAGAGCTACACGAGCATACGAGGTCTGTTTCTTTTCTCGTGGCGAATCGGAAGGCGAGGGAGCGGCGGTAGTATCCGCGTGAAGCAGGGATTTGCCGTCGACAGAGCTCGCGAGCTCATCAACCTGATACTGCTGCTGTCTGCAATGCCGGATGTCCTGCACATGGGCTCAGTATGACTGAGACATGGGAAGCTGACGAGCCCCGTCGGAGAGAGACTCGGGATATCGTGCTTTCGTCTCCACCGCTTGTGGCCCCTGGGGCTACGTTGGTCGTATTTGCACAGCGCAGGCACGGTACATGGCTCTGGGGGGGCGGGAGTCTTGACGGGAGGGAGTATCCGGGAAGAAGAGGCTCAGCGCAGTTTGGTGTTGATGCCTATGGTTTTCTTAGCCAGGAGGCAAGAGGTGTGACCAGCTGGCGAGCCTTGCTTGACTTATGCCACCAGTGGAAGCATGTCTTGAGCGAGATAGATACCTCCTTACTTAGTTGGGGGGCGCCCACAGGTGTGAGCAGACGGACGGCACATCTTTACTTTTGCCAGCTGGCAGAGCGAGTGTCTCCTCCATTTATTGGCCGGCTCTGTGCTTGACACCCCTTCTCCTTTCCCTCCCCTTCTAACGTGCTCTCTTCACTTGTCACCTGCTGGAGGCCAAGTTGCCAGCTGTCAGGCACTTTGCTCGCGTTGTTTCTTTTCTCCCCTTCTCATAGCGCGTCAGCTACGCGTTCTTCTTCTTTCTTCTTCTCTTCTTTCTTCACTTTGTCACTTCGAAGAAGTCTCAACTTTCTTCACTTTTCACATCCCTTCGTTCATTACTTTCTATTGTCCCCCTCCTTCACTGCGGCACTTCACTCTGCATCTGCATTTCCTACATTGTCTTGTTCATCTACAATAGCATCGAGCCTCTCCATTCTGCCTATTGTCCATTGATTCGCAGGGGAAAAGGGTGAGTTCTCAATGAATGCCTTGCGGATGGCCGGCCTATTGTCTCTGACTGTGTGAATAGCTCCTGTGTCCCCCAACCCCACGATGAGAGCATCTATCGTGTCTGCTGGCCTCGTGCCGGTGATGGCGATGCTTCTCGGCAGCATCTCCGCAACAGTGGCCCAGCTTGGCGACGTGAAACATCGCGAAGATCATGACGCTGGCCACTTCAAGGTCTTGGGCCCCCGGGCGGCGAACTATGGCGAGCCTAGCGACTATGGTTACTATCCTCCTCCTCCTTATGGAGAAGAGACCTCAACACTTTCGACTACTTCTACTACCTCCAAGACTAAACCTTGTGAGTGTCCTCTTCCTTGGTCCCTCATTCTGAAGGCTTGAGCTAATGGTTACATAGACCCTCTCCCTGGTGAATCCTCCTCGAGCGCTGCTTCTCATCAGACGACCAAGACCAAGACGCAGACTGTTTCGACCACCTTGTCGGGACACCATGGTCATTCCTCCCCAGTCGGCTCCAAGACAACTTCCACAGAGGTGTCATCTACCCCTGCGGGAACAGTGATTTCAACCTCCTCTTCTGAAGACCATCGCTCGTCGACGGAGACTGAAGCGTCATCCAGCAAGGAGTCTTCTGCCAGTCAGACTGTTCAGACCATCACGGTGTCGCTGTCCTCTACCACGTTTGTCACTGCACAGACTGTGCCTGTGGAGTCTAGTCATGGCGGCTATTCCTTCACCTCGACTGAGGAGACATTGGCTTCGAGTATATCGTCGGGTACCTCGAGCGCGTCATCAGGAACCTCAAGCACGTCGGAAAGCTCAGGCACGTCGACCAAGTCTTTGACGGAAGAAGAGTCTGGTACTGTTCGGCCTGTAACCACCTCTTCTATCTCTACGCCTTCTACTTCTGCTTTTTCACGTTCTGAGTCGGTTCAGCCCACAGTTGCGTTGTCGACGACGGGGTTCCCCAACTCGACGCTTTCTTCTTCGGAGCCTTCAAGCACTTCTAGTCAGTTCAGTCAGAATGGAACTGTTTTCGCCACGGTAACGCTTACGACAATTGGATCAACGGCGGCAACTCCATCCTCGCTCTCATCAACTGAAAGCTCATCGTCCTCCCAGAGTGAGAATGGGACTATCATCTCGACTGTGACATTGACATCAATTGGAACAACGGTGACGACTTCACCATCGATCCAATCAACAGCGAGCTCAACGTCCATCCAGCAGAGTGAGAACGGGACAGTCACGTCGACAGTGACACTGATCTCGATTGGGACAACGGTGACGAGACCAGCATCCGGAGCTTCCACTCAATCATCGTCCCTGGGCTGGAACGCGACTTCTTCTACAGCACCATCCTCTTCTGTCTCAGAGACTACAGTGTCCAGTTTCCCATCAGGCACTCCGACAAACGTGACGCTGACCCTGACATCTGCGGTTACTTCGCCTGCCGGTACCACAGCATCGGCCCAGAGTGTCACAAGCGTCGTGAATGGAACTGTCATTGTGACCACCATCTCTGAGGCACAGACAGGTACCACCTCGTCAACGGCCTTGTCCAACAGCTCGTCCTCTCTCATTAGCGGCTGGTCCTCCTCGAGCGGCCCATCAGTTGCTACTTCGACATACCGGTTCACCAACTCGTCTGTGGCCACCGTCACCGTTGGGCCGTCGAGTGCAGGTGGTACAGGATCTCCCTCGACTGGGGTTACCAACGGGACACTGTCGTTCACAATGACTCTGTCAGGTACCGTGTCACCGTCGGCATCTACTGCTGAATCTAGCACCTCTGCTCTACCGGCTACTGGTAATCAGACCTCCGTTACGGCGAGTACCAATGCTGGTACCACGATTGTTCCGTCAAACGTGACAGCCATCTCGACTGCCACCTCGATCTCGTCCAGCTCGTCTGTGGAAGTATCGGTTACATCTGTGCCCAAGATCTCCTCAACATCGCGAGCCAGTAACGGCACTGGTGTCTCTGTCTCTACCGTCACCATCTCGACGATACAGACGAATGGCTCTGTGGTGTTCACCACGTCCCCGATTCCAAGTGGTACTGGCCACTCCTCTCAGACGCTGTCTGGCGAGATCCGCTCGTCAACATTGACGTTGAGCAGACCCCTATCGTGGGCGAACACAACCTCTACTGCGGCTGCGACAACATCAGAGGCGGGTCCATTGTTCACAGTCTCTACTGTCTCCTTGACGCTGAATCACACCACCATTGTTCAGACGCTTACCGGCACAGCGCCCTCTAGCCCATCTACCAGCCTTTCCAGCTCCAATGCGACTGTGACATCTTTAAATGCCACGTCCACCACGGGATCTCAGTTGCCCTGGACTACTACTGCTACCGGCCAAACAATCGTGAGCACCATTACTGTGTCGGGCTCAGGCTCGAGCAACTCTACCGCGTCCTCCCAGCCAGCGGGAACTGTTGTCGTCATCACTTCTACTACCGGAGCGGCGTCAACTGGTAGCAGCTCTAGCTTTTCTACTGGAGTCTCGCAGGCCACTCACAACGGAACGACGCTGACGGTGACGAGGAGCCAGCTGCCGCCGTTCAGCAATACTACCTCCGGGTCATGGTCATCATTGTCGGCACCATCCGGCCAAGTCGTGACTTCGACGATCTGGAACACCGCTCCAACCGGTTCGCAGTCGTACACCTCGAGCCATTCGGCGTCTTACTGGAACACGAGCCGAACAGGGACCCAGGGACCATCCCGTCCGCCGGTCACTGAATTCAACACGACCTGGCTCTCCTGGACCGGCGTGCCCACGCAGACACCAGGTGCCAGCAGCCCTCCTTTCCCCACGACTCGCAATGCCACCAAGACTCTGTCGGGCACAGTCATCAGTCCCAGTGGCTCGGGCACAGCAGCTCCAACTGTGGTCACCGTCACTCTCAGCCCTCTGCCAGCGACCAACACCACTTCTGGCCCAGTTTCGGGACCGAGCACCAGCGTCGGTGCTGGAAGCCTGACTTGGTCCTTTACCAACTCCTTCAATTTGTCCACGATATGGTTCACGACTGGCGCTCCATCGGGCACTTCGCCGTCCATTTCTGTCATTACTGTCACTCAGCCGGGCACTGGCTCACCATCGGGCACCGGCTCGGTTTCTCTTAGCACTGGGGGCGTCAGCAGTCTTCAGTCCAACTCGTCAACTCGGTGGACGAGTCCAACACTGTCGGCGCCTTCGTCTTGGTCAAACACGACGTTCGCTTCTGCCTCTTCGACTTTGGCATCTGCAACGGCGTCGAGCTCCAGCAACGGCACACTTGGCCCAGTCATCATTTCCACCACCATTACCGGCAAAACGACTGTCTTCACCTCGGTGCTCACGACAGGATCAGGGAGTTCTTCGAGCAACTCCAGCTTGCCCGTCACTCAGGCAGGCAACGTCACAGTCACAACCGTCATCCATAACGGAACATCCCTGGTTCTGACCACCGGTTCGGCTCTGCCCTGGTCGACAACTTCAGTCTCTTCTGGAGCAGGCACGATCTCGTCACAGGCATCAGGTAGCGGACCCATCTGGACTAACAGCACACGCGCGACTCCGTCTCCAACCGCCGCGACTGCTTCAACCACCACAACGACTCAGCTGGTTACCGTCATTGTCTCCACGCTGACCGCCGGCCCTTCTGCCTCTGCTTCGGGCAATGTGACGGTGGTGGAGAGCACCATTACCAGGACACAGACCAGGTCGTCCGCACTTTCTGGTACCGCCATCTCATTGTCGTCTACATCAGAGGCACAGGCAACAGGCAATGAGACTCGGAGCGTTACAACCATTGTTCAGACGGTGCCTGTGCCGCCAACTACTGCCACACGCTGGATCAATACTACTGTCACGCCGACTGAGCAGCCTTCCGGTGCGACGGGCAGTGTGCTTGTGACGACGCTCTGGTTGAACAGTACTGCTGCTGCTTCTTCTGAAAAGTCTGGCAGTGTAGTTGTGACAACCCTGTTCTCAAACATGACCTCGACTGGTACTACGCCCAGTGCGTCGACAACTTACTCCAATAGTACTACTGGTGCTTCCGGCGAGACTGGTAGCATCGTCGTCACAAGTCTGTATCCGAACAGTACCGTGACTGCTCCTGCCAGCGAGACGGGAAGCGTCCTCGTCACAACCATCTTTCCCAATAGCACTACTGGTACGGGCAGTGTGTTTGCGACAACTCTGTATCCAAACAGCACCACTGCTACTCCTAGCGAGACGGGCAGTGTTGTTGTGACGACTCTGTACCCCAACAGCACCACTGGTGCTGCTAGTGAGTCTGGCAGTGCCGTTGTGACGACTCTGTATCTCAACAGCACGACAGCCACTCCTCCCTGCACTCACTCATGGTCATATCCATACCCCAACGTTACCGATACCACGACTACCTGCACTCGGTTCCCCAGTGGCAACACCACAATGACTCGCTGCTGGGCGCTGCCGTTGACGACGGCCCTCCCAGAGACGTCAGAATACCAGACTCGGTCGTTTTCGTCCACTTGCAACACGACGAGCACAACCAACGGCACATTGACCAGTGCCCAGAGCAGTAAGTCCAAGCCATCTAGCATCAGGTACCCCTTGAGTGAACAGAAGCTAACATGACGCTCCAGGTTCGAACCCCTATCCTCTTCCGACGACATTCGAGACCTCGACCACGTCCAAAGACAAGGAATCTGGCTCGCGCGGCTTTGCCTATCCCGTGCCCACGGTAGAAGTCCAGGAGGAAGAGTTGCCCAGCAATCCAAACTACCCCTGGGGCGCGGCCTCGCCGCTGCATCGTCACCACAACGTGACGGGGCTGGGCGACGGGCTGCTCGACTGGGGAAAGACGGCGGTGCACCGTCTCCGGACCCTGTTCGAGAAGCATGAGCCTATTGAAGGTGAGCACAGTGAAGAAGTTGGCGAAGACGAAAAGGAGTGACGGTGAAGCTGGGATAAGGGCGTGGTGTTGTCGAGCCCTCCTGTGCGAAGAGCATGTGCTCTTGTAATCCTGTTGGATTGAGAATGGGGAGTGAGGCTTGATATATGGGATGGATCGTTGAAACGATAATTTTTATTTGCTGCTACGGATAATTGTTGGACGGGTATGTTTTCAAAGGGGGATTTGGGACTTTACGGGGGATTCTCTTGTTATCACGGCCGTGCTGGTCCAAGATAATGTATCGGTAGTGGTAGTGATTGTGAGGACTTGGTCAATATCATGATGGTTTCGTGTTTAAAGGGCCTCGATCATGATATGATTCATTACAAGCAAGAAATTTCATAGGTACCTAATGCCTATACCATGACGTTGGAGCTTCATGATGGTCTTGAGAAACGGTTATCTTGATATGTTGCGTACCTGGACTTGGCAGGGCTTGTGTGTGACGTACACCAGCATATGTACATGTACATATACTTACACATGTGCCCGATCTAGGATCCAGCCGTTCCACCACAGCAGCTGCGAGATGACCTCGATTGCCTCTTCAGCAAATTAGACACGCATTATGCCTTTACATTGACTGCCTGATGTTTCATGCAACACAATCATATACCGTATCTACTAGGTAGGTATGTTTGTTAGTTGAATCAGGGGCTTTTGGCGGATAATACGGCGTCCTGAAGCTCTTGGCTGCTCCTCAAGCTGACGTAGGTCTCGTGTGCGCCTATACCCAATCGGGCAGCTTTGGTGGGCCGATGCCTCGGAGAGTCGGCCCCAGACTTGTCCGAGACGGCGACGTGCTCTGGCTTCTGGCCAATCACGAGCCTGGATCGTGCTCGATTGCCCAGATCCCGATGGCGCAACCTGGACGTTTGTCCACAGTGAGCATCCCTGTACACTGTACACTGTACATGCACAGCCATGGCGCCTGTTTGCCACTTCTGGGGACCTCTTGCACTTCTTTGTCTCCCAATAATACGCCAGAGGTTCTCCCTTCTCATCTTAGCCTTCTTTTTGCTTCTCCCACACCAACGAACGCCATATCGCAAGCCCATCTCGACTTTGAAAACAAACAAGTGTCGTATCATATTCTGGTTCTTCTTGCCATCCATTGATCTCTCGCATCGCACATCTCCCGAGTCGCCGCCATGATGCTCAAGCAGCTCGTCCTGGCGGCCGCCGCGGCTGCCTTTGTCATCGTCCCCGAGATATCCGAACAAGATGAGAGCATCTTCAAGGCGCTGCCCGTCGAGCCCGAGACGCTGCAGCTGCCGCCCGAAGCGCTGGGCCAGAGCCTCGACGTGCCCTGCAGGCAGTGCCGCGGCCGCGATGCGCACCTCAGGCTGGATTTCGCCGTCGAGGACGGCTCGCGGCTCATGGTCAACGGCTTCGAGCTGTATCCCCACGCCGACCCGTGGCGCGACGACCTGGTGGCCGAGGTGGTGCGGGCTGGCGGCGGCGGCGGCGGCGGCGTTGCCAACGAGCGCACGCTGGGCTACAGCCTGTCGGTGCTGCCGCGGGCCAAGGACGACGAGCAGCAGCTGGAGCTGGTGGACGTCAAGCTGCGGGTCATTGAGGTCGGCCACCGGTTCGTCGACGACATCCCCGTGGTCAAGGTTGGCCTGATCAAGGCGCCCGGCGGCGAGATTGTCATTGCCGACATGCAGCTCGTGCCCGTGCCCGAGATGCCCTGCAAGTCCATGTGGTGCCGCGCCAAGTCGGCGCTCAAGGGCTTCGGCGGCTGCCACAAGAAGATGGACCACCATCACAAGGGGCCTCACCCTCACCATGGCCCTGGCGCCATGGAGAAGGTAGAGGAGGAAGAGGGCGGCCACCACCCGCATCACCACCACGAGCACAAGCCGCACCGCCACCAGCGCCCTCACCACGCACCCGAGGAGGAGTGGAACTCTGAGCGCGACTGGCGCCAGCTTGTCCTGAGCGTTGCGTCGCACATTGTGCTCCCCGTCCTGATGGGCATCACTGCCGGTGTCGGTGTTGCATTGTACGTTTGTCCCCGTCTCCTCCCATAGTCCGTTTCTGTGCTAACCTCTTGCGATAGCTTTGCCATGTTCTTGTGCAGCGTCGTGTACCGTCTGAGCGTGCTCATCCGTGGTGGAGCGCCGCGCCGATCGTGGTGCCCTCACCACCGACGCAATGCCACTCGATTCCCTTCTGCCGAGGAGGAGAAGGTGGGCTTGATGGAGGCGGAGGAGGCTCATGATACGACTCCTGCGCCGGCAGCTTTCGAGGATGAGGTAGTGAAGAACTAAGGGGGGCGGCGACAAATGTCCTTTGCAAACTATTTACATTTCCTTGCGTTATCATTCATGAGTTGCTGGACGACAAATTGGCAGTGTATTATCAACGTCACTTTGAGCTATCTGACAAAAGAGCAAAAGATATATAAAAAAGATTGGCATAACATGCATGCATCTTGTTCATGGCATGTCCCTTGTTAAGGCAGGGGACGCAGAGTGATGACACGACGATGAGAGGAGGATCTCTGTACCGAGCCACTCTGTAGATCAGGGGACCTACCTACCTACCTTCTGAGGTAGACAATGATGCATCAGATTCGACCGAAACCTGCCCTATGCCATGATGTACAGCACATTTCAGATCCTCAACGCACTCAAGTCTCTGCCCGTCACTCCCTTCCTTTTTTTCTTATCCATCCGATCTCACGGCGCTCTTGGAGCCGCGTGGGTCCCCCCGGGGTCCGGGATGAGGATCCCCGTTGTGGGGAGTTGCAAGTTGAGCTTTTCGACGAGTCCACTGTGGGGGGGAGGAAGTTCATGTTGTTTAGAGCTACTACTACTAGGTACCTGTACTAATACTCTTACCGTACGACATGAGGGCACCTATTCTTTAATCATGTGGCAGGATATAGCTTGAAGCTGCCTGGTAGATGTAAAGGGAGTTTATTTGATGTTAATTCCGTCTATGTGATTTTGGTGATTTTAGGGATGTGAGATGGGCTTGGTGAGGGCTTGATTATGTTTTTGGGTCGAGCTGGGTCTGTGTCGGAGTTGTCTTTATTGGGTAAATAGTGTTGGGTCCCTGCTGCTGTGAGGTACTACACGTATGCCTACCTACTTACCTACCTACCTACCAAGGTAAGGTAGGTAGGTATGTAAGGCGGAGTAAACACGGAATTACACGGCGTTGAATTAGCAGGTCTGTTTTTTCCTTTTTCTTTTCTCTTTATGAACAGTAGTAATTTATCTGGGTAAAGAGCATATAGTTTTGCAAGGCGTTATACTTCTTGGTGTCTAGGCATTACAGGTGAGGTGAATACTATGAGGGTTGGTAAGCTGATGTTTCTTTTCCCGACGCTTCATCTTGCTGAATGAACCCTCCTCTCTACCTAAGAAAGGAGCATCATCAGTTGGGAAAAAACAAAAAAGAGCCGTCTTTATTATGTGATGTTATACATGCCATCACCTGCCGTCCCCAAAGAACCATGCAGCTTTTCCAGTAGTTTTTATCTAAAGCTAACTCGCCCGCAGCCCTCGTGACCGACGCCGTGTGTCCCCGTGGGCTATTTCCCCCCCAAAAAAAGGTGGAAAAGTCCATGACGTGGAATTGCTGGATTGGGGCAATGGACCTCACCGATAAATATGCGGGGAAATCGAGGAAACAGCAGCTCTAAGAACCTGTTGCCAGATTGTCATTTAGCAAAGCTACCTATTACCTAGTAGGTACTCATTGATTCGCTATCAAAATGGACCCTGTTGAGCCTCACGTCTCCCACCCTCCAAGATGTGAAGACAATCTCTCTGATGTATCGAGCTCTACTCCTTTAGTTAGGAATCCAGAACATCGAGCGCATCACCATGACGGCTTCCCGCCCCCCATGATTTTCCGGCTCTTTGTCCATCTGCGGGGGAGGAACGCGGCCCAGAACGACGTCGTGCTTCCCCAAGCTCACAGAGGCGCGGTTCCGCAACCGCATATTACCTACCAACTAATAAGGTATGTAGATTCTGGCTCCTCTGCCTGCTGCCCCTCACCCCTCAACCAGCTGCGGAGGTAAGCTTGCTTGCTTGCTTGCGCGTGGGGGGAAGGATGCAAGAATGCAAGCTTGGCCGACATGCCCCGGATTATCAGCGACAGATATATACAGCTAAATTGCCCTGTCTATTTCTCCATTTGCAGACTTTGTCACTCTCACTCTCTCTCTCTCTCTCTCTCTCTCGCCGTATACCTACCTGTGTAGCTTAACACTTTTTGGATTGTCTCCATCTCTTGTTCTTCTTCTCCTTCTCCTTGTTCTTCTGCTGTCTTTATTAGCATCCAGCGCAACGCATCACACACACGCACACATATACAATGTGGCAGCCGACATCTCCCAAAGGCGACGATCCGTCACAACCCGCCTCCAGCCACGGCCACGGCCACGGCCACGGCCACGGCCGCACGCTCTCCATGAAGCAAAAGAACCCGGGCCGCTGGTTCGCGCAGACAATCAAGCTCAAGAAGGAGTGCGCCGAAGAGTACAAGGCCTGCCACGCAAAAGTCTGGCCCGAGGTGCTCAAGCAGATTAAGGACTGCAACATTGAGGACTGTACGCCTTGCCTTTTTGCTCTTTCACTTGCTCACCATGATGGCGATGATGATAATGATGACTGATGAGCGGGGGAACAGACAGCATCTTTTACGACCCAGACATGGACCTGCTGGTCGGCACCTTCAGGTACATTGGCTACGACTACGCCGGCGACATGCAGAAGATGGCCGAGAACCCAAAGGTGCGCGAGTGGTGGAAGATGACGGACAGGATGCAGGAGAGCCTGGTCAAGGGCGCCGTGAGCTCCGAGGCGGGCGAGCCGTCGTGGTGGAAGCCCATGGAGCAGGTGTTTTTCCAGCCCTGAGGGTGTGTGTGAAAGGGACCGAGGCTCTCTCTCTCGTCTGATATCTTGAAGAATCGAACGACAGAATGGGATGCATCCGTTTCACATTGGCGGCACGAAGAATCGCCCAAAAGACTGAGCATGACAAAGCTCTCGTGCCATGTGGTGCAGTAGAGAGGCGGGAGGCAATCGTGAACAAAGGATTCGTCTTCTGCGTCGTCTAGCCCAATGAACCTGGCTGTTTGTCTTTTGCATCCACAAAGTGGATGTCGTGGCTTTATCATCATCATCATCAACAACGTCTTTCGGGTAAATGGGCTATCATTGCCCCGTAGCCAGGAAACCGGACTTTTCGCGCTGATCGGCTCGTAAATCACCGACCTCGATTGCTTCTTTGCAGTACATAGTGCCAAAGTGCGTAATACATGTCCACGATGCACTGCGTATTCGTAGGCAGTGGCAGCCGCTGTCTCTTTCGGTATGGCTAGGGTCAAGGGTTGAAGTGGCTTTCTTGGTCTGGTGTGATGAGAGGTAGGGTTGCGCTGTGACAGGGGCACAGCGTTTGAAGCAGATTGCGCCCCGTAAGGAGTGTCGTAGGCATCATGCCATGGAATCAAGTAAAAGGCTGGATTGGAGCGTGTACGATATGAGCGGAACTGGCTGTGCTTTTGCGGCAGGTCGGACAGCTCGAGGGCTGTTCTCAATGCTTTGAAAGCTGTAGAGGATGCGGGCTTCTTCTCATCAGTCGTGGGCTTGTTGTCAGTTGCCCCGAGTCGAACCCTGAAAACCAGATCAGCCACTTGCGTGTTGTCTGAGACATGCATAGAGGTACGGATCCATCTCTCGTGGAAGCCGGCACACTCACCCGCAAGTGCTCGCAGTGTCTTGCTTGCTCTGGCACAGATCGTGCGCTTTGACTTCGGAGGGGACCTTGCGTCGACATCCGATGGAACACTTTTCCAGCATCGACAATCGACTTTTGCCTGATTACCAGTCAACATGCCCACTGTGTATCGATACGGATGTAGGCCAGCTGTTACATGCCAGTAAGGTAGGTATGTGTGCGTCGTCCAACACGCACAGGAAGCAACAACGAACGCATGAGCAGATTACTAGACTAGTAACAACTTGAAGTGGGAATAACATTTGATCCTAAGGTAGCCAACTGATAGCTTTGCTGGTGCACGAGTAAGTTTGCGTAATTTGTCACCGAGATCTTGGGAAAATGAAAGCCTTGTGGATCGAAACGAGCCTCGCGACGAGTCGGATCGGAGCTGGATGGATGTGGCCAAGCCAAGGCTGGGCAGAGTGATTGCCAGCAGCGCGGCTACGGAAAAAATATAGCAAATTATATCATACTACTAGAATAGTAGCGCCATCGGCTGGTTCGAAACAAGCAACATCTCCATGCTGTCCAGGGAGTCGCAAATTGGGTGCATCCTTGCGGGCTGTAGCCGACCATGGCTTGATGCTCCGTGGGCTAATACCTGTAATGGCACCATCATTCTAGGTACCTTTATCTGTCCATTCTACAGCAAGGCCACCGCTCTCGGCAACCTGACCACGTGAGAGCGTCTGTATGCACATGCATGCTCTCATGCATTGCCCAACCAATTTGACCGGCCGTGTCTCTCAGGCCAGCAACCAAGGTCAATGGACATGTCAGAACATGTGTTGATGGCCGACGCTCAGTGGCTCCAAAGTGCATGAGAGTGACGGAGAGTGAAAGCAAGACGACGAACAGCCAAGCGAATGAAAAGGCCTCGTGCAGGTGCGGGGCCTGCAGGAACAGCGGCGCTAGCGTTTTGCGTTGAGGGCGACGTTCTTTTTTCGGGTTCAGGGGTTTCTGCCAAGGGGGGGGGGGGGGGGCTGGTTACGTACCGGTACAAGCAGGATGGTGATATCTGAGCTTCCGAGCCTGTGCTTGCTCTTGGAGCTTCAGTTGGCACTTGACGGCGCTGCTGTTGGTCGGTGCCATGTTGGGAAAGAGATTTTCTTTTCTTCTTCTTCTATTTCTTTTTCTCCCGATCGTTATGCTTTAGCACCCAAGCACCTCATCTCGATGATCCCATTGGTGGTGGATGCTGTCCATCGGGCTTGACTCCGTCCATCCCTGGTCTCTGGCACCTTCGAGTCCGATCACGATCCACAACTTGGCGAGCAACGTCGAACAGAAAGCCGTGCTTGCGGAAATGATTGGCTGATGCCTCCAGTAATGCGGCCGACCTGCACATCATACTCGTACTAGTATACCGGCATCACTTTGCCCAAGCCTGATGAGTGAGCATCATGCCCTGGCTGGTTTGCCGTTGATACCCCTGCCACATTGCATCAAATGCATGCATGTCCCGACAGAGGGCAATGGAACCTCAACTGGCTGGTCCAGGTCCAGGTCGAGGTCGGGTCTGGTACAGGTACCAGTACCACCAGCTGCAAGCCCCGTCTGCGCCATCACAGCGGTCCAGGCACCGCCGTTCAGGGCAAGCACGGCGCCATCCAGCGCCACAGCAGCGCCAAGGCCATGCGAAGCTCCCCCCCAAACCCCCCACAAACAACAACGTGCAACTCCCGCCTGTCTCATCCTGCCGCGTACCAGTACCTGCACCTCGCCTGGCCCTTGGGTCTTGGTAGCCCTGTCTGTGCCTGGAAACTTGGACATGCCTGCAAGGTGCCAGAGTCCCTGTACATCTGATGTTACCTGACCTGACGAAGCACCCAAACTGCGCATCTCGGCCCTCGTCCCTTCCAAGGTTCTCCTTCTCGCCTCAACTCCTCTTTTCCTCTCCCCCAAACCTCTGGTGAGTCCTCGCTGGTTCGTCACTCTACCCAGAATCTCTGGCTGGGCCACCAAATCGACAGGCAGCAGGCAGAGACAAAGCACAGAGCACGCACGCTGGCCAGCCTTGTCCTCTGTTCCACGTTGCAAGTTGTTGCGTTTCCCTCGCATCCTGGTCCGTTCGCCGTCGCCTGTTTGCAACCCCCCCAGGTTCTGTTTTCTCGCTTGCGATAACCTTCACTCTTTCTTTCTTTCTTCTTTCTTTTCTCAATCGCCAGCTGCCAGTCGCCGCTGCTGCTGTCAACTTTTCGATTCCCCGCCTTTCGTTAACTTCTATTGTCATTCTTTATATTTCCCTTGCACTTTCTTTTCTCCATTTCCGTTCTCTCATTGCCTTGCGCCTGTTGTTCTGGTTCTGGTCCGGATGAATAGTTGCCGTTTCCGTTCGCGTAGGTACGTTCTCTTCTGATCACCTTTGGCCGCCGTCTTGCCCAGGCATCGTCTCGCATTCTCCAGGCTTTTGAATCTTTCTCCGATACCTGATCTGTGGCTCCATGAGATCCTCGACCTGGCCGAGCCCCTTCTCGACATATGCCCCGACTCTCGACTATCCAAGCCATCGGCTCACATAGCACAGATTCTCCCGCACCACCCTTCAAGCTCTTCGTCTTGTCTTCGAGAAACCGTGACACAGGACAGCTGCAGTGACGCCCTTGCATTCTCGAACAAACGCCTGGCCCAATCACGACAGCAACCCGGTCGTTAGCCTGCTACCGTGCCTGTGTTGCGGCAGCACAGCAGGACAGTGCGTCGGTCCAGCTGCCCAGCAAGGCTTTTCTCATCTCAGCAGTGTCTGGTCGCCGTTTCTGAGGTTGAGCTCGTCGTCGGCGTACTGGGTCGCGGTCATTGTAAGCCTCAACTTATCTCCTTTGCCTCAACCTGTGTCGTCATTCCCTTCCGTTTGCTGTATTGGCTTTCGATTCGCCATAGTTGTTGCTCGGCCTTTCGGTAGTAGAGGATCTTGCTCATGCATGGTCCTCGTCTGCAGATTTCCATTCGTTTCGTCTCCCTGTGCGCCAAAGGCCCGCACAACTACAGCGCAACTGTTGGCTCAGGTTCTCAGGCTTTGCGTCTCTTGATTCGTCTCAATCGTTTCAATCTCATTCGAGCCAGCTTGCGACTGGTCCCACCTCTGCCCAGTGCAACCAAGTTGGTTTCAGTTGGACCGGTTGCCAGCAGGCCCCGTCTATGCACCTCGAGCCATACACATCACCAACCAACCATTACATATCGACTAACTCCCAGCAGCATTCCTCCGGATGCTTTGTAACCGGACAACTCGACAATCCCAATGAGTCAAGCCTATAATGGAAGCAGAGATTGGCCGGCACAATCTCAACCATCCTCTCGAAAACCAAGGGGCAAGGCCCAGGTTGGCTTTCCCTTCAGCAGCGAGTCCAACATGCGTGAGCAGCGGCTAAGACACGAGGCGAGTCCGAGTGACGATACACTGCCTCAGGATGTGGTACCGCCCAACTCGACGAGATTGAGAGCGCCAAATGGCCAGAATGCCAACCCTGCAATGACAATTTCTCGACCTGCGCCAGCCCCCCAGTGGCCGCTGCAGACGCTTCCCACAGCGGTGCCCCCCGAACCTGATTCATACCGTCCACCACCAGACCGACCTCGAATAGCTCCTCAGAGACCGCCACGACCAAGTCGGGTTCCCTCCTTAGTCGACCAAAACCGCCCACAGCAAGCGACTCCTTTGTTTCGTGTCCCTGGAGGTCCCGAGAGCCCGTCGGACATAGTCGAGAGCCCTTCTTCGGACACCCCAGGGCCTCCTAGAAGAAGCGCAAACCTGGGGCCACCGCCTTCCAGCAGGAGAGGCCAGTCATCTTTCTACTCGACAGCTTCTTATGTGACCCCGATCCCCGAAGAAGGCTCAGGCTACAAAACACACCTATCCTACGCTTCAAGCGCCGTCATGCCTGATGGGAGATTCGAATCGGGTGTCAGCCCGAGTCTTAACGGCACTTTCTACGAGGAATCCTTGACGGATAAACCTAGGCACTCTGAAGGGGACGATTACAACGACGAAAGCCGATTGGTACACGGACGGGAGGAATATGCTCTTCAGACGCTCAACAATCGGCCTTCTGCCGGAAAGGAGTCAGCTTCTGCCAACCCGTTCAGCGAAGGGACAGGACTTGTCGACGAATCCACCGACTCTTCATCAAACACTTCCTTCACCAACAGGCAGACCCCAGCAAACACCTCTGGCATGACGAGCCATATCGCTGCCGTCCCTCCCAACGACGGCCTGAAAATCCCTGCAGACCACGATATAGCCACTGGATCAACACAACCGACTAGCCGCTTGTCTGCGATCCGACGCCCGCCAAGGCTGGACATGGACGCCGTGAAGGAGGCCGAGTCGAGGGGGAGCCTTACCAGCTTGCCAGATCTCATCCGACGAGCCACCCAGCTAGCCTCCATGATAGACAAGGGTAAACGCCCTGGGAGCCGCCTTGATGATCTCGACTTTTTCAACGAAAAGGGGGGCGGCAACGAGGCAATGAGGCGTGCGTATAGTAAGTCTCAACGTTACCTTTGGTTGCCATATCTAACATTGAACTTTGACTGACTCTGTGAAAATCAGTGGAACGTCATCAATCGGGTCTCTCGGACATGCTGGCCGCCTTTCCTCCTCCCGTACAAACTCCCACGCACAACGCTCGCGGCCCTCGGGGGTCATGGCCCATCGCACCAGCAAACTACGTGACCGGCCGTGAGAAGTACTCGGTAGAGCCCGAAGACGACGCTACGGCCAAACGAAAAGGCCGACGGTGTTGCGGTCTACCTTTGTGGGGGTTCATCTTGGTCATCGTGCTCATGCTTTGCATCATCGCGGCCGCCGTTGTCGTCCCTCTGGAATTCTTCGTCTTCAAGAATCTTGGCCATCATGACGATCCCTCGGCCGTGAACCTTGATACTTGTGCAAAGACGCTGCCATGCCTGAACGGCGGCAGCGCCGTTGTCCTCAACAACGCATGCTCATGCATCTGCACCAACGGCTTCACTGGTGCCAATTGTGGTACCGGTGGCTCGGCGGGCTGCACAACGACAAACCTGGTTCCCACGGACGGCTCGTCTCGCATCAACAATGTCACCCTCGGCATGGCTATTCCACGCATCATTGCCGACTCCAACAAGAACTTTTCGATACCACTGGTTGGAACAAGCATCCTAGCCAAATTCAACTCGGGAAACCTCTCATGCATTGCCCAAAATGCTCTTGTAACTTTTGACGGCCAGTCGACAAGAATAGGTCTGGCTAATGCCAGAGTGCAGTCGCCCACCGATGATCCGGCCAAGGATAAGACTGGAACCAGCAAAATCTCCGGGCCAATGCCCGATCTCACCTCTCGGCAGCTGGAGGCAGCCCACGGCGAGGCATTTCTGTTGTCTCGAAGGGCCGGCTCCTCAACCTCGGCCCCCTCCCCGAAGCAGACCAGCCTGTTCACAGTCACGGAGGAAGTTCTCGATTTTGCTCGCACGGCAGTACTGTATGTGCTGCAGGAAGACACCCTCGATGCGGCCAACACGGCGCAGACCCAGCTCCAGCAATTCTTCACTCAAGCCACGCAATCCATCACCAAGCTCGGCTCCCAAGTAACTGTCAAGGAGGCGTCAAGCATTTCCATCGGAGGCAACAGAACGGTTGATCTGGTTGATGCGACAGTCAACATTGGAGAGGGTCCCGTAGGAAGCAAGCAGGCGACCAAGCGTAGCCTTTTCGGCTTTTGAGGGGGCTTGTCAGCTTGACTAACCCCCTGAGAAAGCTGACGCAGCTACGAAGCAATTTTGGCCAAACAATCTACAAGAACCAAAACAAGAACGAGGCTCATACGGCGGGAGGTGGCGATACCCTTTGTACAAAGCTGGGATACGGTATTTAATACGGGTCGGAGTTGAGAGGAGAGTTTTATCTGTGACAATGAGACGTAAGAAGCAATAAAGGACCTCGCGCATGGGAAATCTTGTATAAGCATGTCACGGACTCTCTCTTTTTCTTCATTTTGGAAGCTGTTTTCTTACTCTTTCCTTGTACTTTTTTTCTTCCATGCTTCTATTTCACTACCTACCTACATGGTACATCTTTCATGTGCATTTAAAGGGAGGGGAGGTGGTAGAGGGAAAAGCGCAGGCGTTTTTGCAAGACTACCTAGATTAGCTCGATATCATACATCACGGCGGCTTTTTTCCGGTTTCCTGCTGCATTGTCTCGGACAAAACAGACAATTTCAGCGTATGTGCGTTCGTGTAAAGTCAACTAAGGGGGATAATCGTGAGTTGTACACAGAGATTCCTCATTCTCAGGGGCTACAATATCCAACTTCCCACCCAGTTGCTTGCACGTTCACACAGAGGCTCTGTTATCTGTATGGCTTTTACATCTTTTTTTTCTGCTTCTTCTTTTTTTGTGGCTCTTTACATTGCTTGTGCTTTACCTATGCGTATACAAAAAGTCTGTACGTGTCAATTTCTTTTACATCCTAAAGACACCAAACTTTGTGTCTCCGGCCTTGACTTCATTCCGGCCTCCCATGGCGGCTCGCAGGCCGAGACCGAGGTACTGGCGGGTGTGCTGGGGAGGGATGATGCCGTCGTCCTATAGGGGGGGTAAATGAGTCAGTGTATATGATCTTGTTGTCATGGCATTTGTAGTTATCGACTTGGAAATATTTCAAGAGCATTCACAAGAGAGAACTTACCCAGAGACGAGCAGAAGAGTAGGTGGCCTCGCTCTCGCGTTCGATGCGCGCCTTGAGCTCCGGGTCGACCGACTTGCCGACCGTCTCCATGACGGAGGCGAGCTGCTCGCCACCCATGACGCCGACGCGGGCGTTGGGCCACATCCAGAGGAAGCGCGGGCTGTAGGCGCGGCCGCACATGCCGTAGTTGCCGGCGCCGTAGCTGCCGCCGACGACGACGGTGAACTTGGGCACGTCGGCGCAGGCGACGGCGGTGACGAGCTTGGCGCCGTGCTTTGCGATGCCGTCGCGCTCCGAGGCGGAGCCGACCATGAAGCCCGAGATGTTCTGCAGGAAGACGAGGGGGATGCCGCGCTGGGCGCAGAGCTCGATGAAGTGGGCGCCCTTGACGGAGGAGGAGGCGAAGAGGATGCCGTCGTTGGCGACGATGCCGACCTTTTGGCCGTAGATGGAGGCGAAGCCCGTGACGAGCGTGGTGCCAAAGTCGCGCTTGAACTCGGCGAACTCGGAGCCGTCGACGATGCGGGCAATGATCTCGCGGATGGGCATGGGCTTGCGCAGGTTCGTCGTGGCGATGCCCAGCAGCTCCTCCGGGTCGTAGAGCGGCTCGGCAAACGTCTCGGCGGGCGGCTGCGTGGCGGCGGAGCGCTTCGGCCAGTTGAGGTTGGAGATGCTGCGGCGGGCGAGGGTGATTGCGTGGGCGTCGTCGACGGCGAGGTAGTCGGTCACGCCCGACACGGACGAGTGCATCTTGCCGCCGCCGAGGTCCTCGTGGCTGACCACCTCGCCGGTGGCGGCCTTGACCAGGGGCGGGCCGGCCAGGAAGATGTGGCCCTGCTCCTGGACAATGATGCTCTCGTCGCTCATGGCCGGCACGTAGGCGCCGCCGGCCGTGCAGGGGCCCATGACGACGGAGATCTGGGGGATCCCCTGCGAGGACATGCGCGCCTGGTTGTAGAAGATGCGGCCGAAGTGGTTCTGGTCGGGGAAGACGTCGGCCTGGTGGGGGAGGTTGGCGCCGCCGCTGTCGACGAGGTAGATGCAGCTGAGGAGGGTTGGCAAGCAGCCGTATGTTAGTCAAGGGGTTATTCATTTCACATAATGCTCTGTGCTTCTTTGGGTGTTAATTAACAAGAGCAACTCACGGCAGCTTGTTCTCCTGGGCCACGGCCTGTGCTCGCAGGTGCTTCTTGACGGTAATGGGGTAGTAGGTGCCGCCCTTGACGGTGCTGTCGTTGGCCACGATGACGCAGGTGACGCCCTCGACAACACCCACGCCCGTGATGATGCCGCCGGCCGGCACCTCAGCCTCGGGGTACAGCTCGTAGCCGGCCATTGGCGACAGCTCGAGGAACGTGGTGCCCGGGTCGATGAGCGCCGCGACGCGATCCCGCGGCAGCATCTTCTTGCGCGCAATGTGCTTGTCGCGCGCCTTCTGCGGGCCGCCCTTTTGGATGTTCGAGGCCAGCTCCTGCAGGCGCGCCGTCACCTCGGCCATCTGCCGCTGGTTCTCCTTGAACTCGTCAGACGAGGGGTCGACATTTGTCGGCAGGCGCGAGATGGCGGCGGCCTGGTGAGGCGGCGTGAGAGTCGCGGCGCTGCGGCGGAGCAGCAGCCGTGAGGAGGAGGAGGAGGAGAGTGAGGCTGGTGATGATGACGATGGCGAGGCTGATGGTGATGATGCTACTATTGAGGGACGCAGCTGGTGGGACAGGCGCAGGGCCTGGCGGCAGGGCCGGGACAGAGACATTGCTGGCAGTTGGGGCGGCGGCGGACGATGCAATTGACGAGAGATGCAGGACGCAGACAAGAACAGGGACCGGAGATGCAGTCGAGATGCCCTCTTCTTGTCTCTCGCTGTCTGGCCTTTCTCTTCCAGCCGAAGCCTGGCCTCGTTGACGCTGTTCGGCTGTTGCAGCGACCCGAGCCGCGAAAAGCCGCCAGAAGCCGCGCAAGCCGAAGGACCGACAGGCCGTTGGCAGGAGCGACGCAGGCGATCGCTGGGGAAGGCACCTCGGCTTAGTCGCGCCTGCTGCTTCGGCGGCTTTTGGCAAGCAGCTCTTAGCTCATCATCGTCATCGTCATCTCAATTCTTCTCCTTCTTCATCTTCACTTTTCAGCTTCTGCTTCGCATCTGGGCTCTGTCGTGATTCATCCTGAGTTCGGCGGTCATTCGTCTCTTTCTCTCCTCGCGGCTCAATCGGTGCACTCCTCTCTCTTTGTGGCCTCAACTCTGCGCAGCGCCGCATATCTCATACTCGTCCATTACGCCGCTGCTAGCCAGCTCTCCTTTCCCCCCCCTTCCATCAATCCTCATCCTTCCATCATGGCCAGCCTCAGAACCTTTTCCAGACTCGCGCGCCCTGTGCGGCCGTCTCTCTCCCTCCGCCCAGCCGCCGGCTTGTCACCAGCCTCTTCAATTTCATGCCAGAAGCGGCTGCACTCCCAGAAGCACCCCAAGGGCTTCACTGCCCCCTCACAGGAGGAGCTGGACGAGCTGCGCGAGCGCGTCCACGACTTCACCCGCCGTGAAATTCCCGAGGAGTTGGCCGCAAAGACGGACAAGACGAATGCCTTTCCCATGGAGATGTGGGAGAAATTGGGCGAGGCGGGTTTCCTGGGCGTGACGGCTGACGAGGACTATGGCGGTCTGGGCATGGGCTACCAGGCACATTGCATCGTGCTGGAGGAGATGTCGCGCGCCTCTGGATCGATTGCGCTGAGCTATGCCGCGCACTCGCAGCTGTGCGTCAACCAGATCTCGCTCAACGGCACACCGGAGCAGAAGGAAAAGTATCTGCCCGGTCTCATTGCCGGCACCAGCGTCGGCGCCCTGGCCATGTCTGAGTCCGGGTCCGGGTCCGACGTCGTCAGCATGCGCACCTCGGCCAAGGCCGTCGATGGCGGCTTTCTGCTCAACGGCACCAAGATGTGGATTACAAACGGCCCCGACGCTCACGTCATTGTCGTCTACGCAAAGACGGAGCCTGACAAGGGCTCCAAGGGCATCACCGCCTTCCTCGTCGACACCAAGGCCGAGGGCTTCTCGTGCGCGCGCAAGCTGGACAAGATGGGCATGCGCGGCTCCAACACGGGCGAGCTCATCTTCGAGAACGTCTTTGTGCCCAACGAAAACGTGCTCGGCAAGGTCAATGGCGGTGTTCGCGTCCTCATGGAGGGTCTCGACCTGGAGCGCCTGGTCCTCAGCGCGGGCCCCTTGGGCCTCATGCAGGCGGCTCTCGATGTTGCGCTGCCCTTTACCCACCAGCGAAAGCAGTTTGGCCAGCCCATTGCCCACAACCAGCTGGTCCAGGGCCGTCTTGCCGACATGTACACCAAGCTGCAGGCTTCGCGCGCCTACACGTACAACACTGCCCGCATGGTGGACGAGCAGGGCATCATCCGCACCCAGGACTGCGCCGGCGCCATCCTCTACGCTGCCGAGAGGGCGACGGAGTGCACGCTGGACTGCATCCAGCTGCTGGGAGGCATGGGCTACACGGAGGAGATGCCGGCATCTCGATTGCTGAGAGAGTAAGTTTCCATTCCTGACTGGATGCATTGAGTGAACCATGACTGACTGTCTGTTCTAGTGCGAAGCTGTACGAGATTGGAGCGGGCACATCCGAGATTCGCAGAATGGTGATTGGACGCGCCTTTAACAAGGAGTATGCCAATGCTTGAGACAAGTTGATAGGACAGGGTTAGGCAAGAACAAAAGAGAAGGAAACAATGACATCTGTCTAGACGTTGTTAGGCCACGTCGGAATTACTCTTGTATACTGATGTACAGATATATACGCTGTCTAATAGAACAAGGTCATTTGGATCAGATCGAGCTGATCACCATCTCATTCTGAAGAGCCCCATTGCCTAGTGTGTGAGGTGTTGCATATTCAACTCTATGCTACATGCTGGGTTATGAGATGTACACACTCCTTGCCTACCTATCTCGTCTACACCAGCCAGAGTGTAAGGCTGTGGATCTGGACGGCTACTAGAGACTAAGTGCAGAATGGCTCAGGCTCGTGATGGTCATATCGCATCCCCTCTGAATGGCCAATTGACAATGGGTAGTCCAAGAATTGACGTCACAAAGAGATGCTACAATTGGACTTTATTCCGTAGAATGTTTCGACATGATCAAAGCAAACAATAGTTCGCGGCGCCTAATCCGTATGTAGCATTTATTGAGCACAGTAATAGCTCCTTAGCGCACGATTGGTCGCGACATCGCTGGGGCATCAGGAGTCGTTCCTGAAACTCGCACTTGATACAAGACCCGTCTGGTCTGGTCCGGGGGGGCTGTCGCTGCTGAAGCAACCTCCTGATTGATTGATTGCTTGCTTGCGCTTCATTTTCCGCTTCTTCTCTTTCTTTCTCTTCTTTTTTTTCCCTTCTTTTTTTTCCCCTTCTCTCTTTTTCGATTTGTTTGGAAATTTTATTGCTTCTCTCCGCATTGATTGCGATTTTTTTTTTTTGCCCCTTTTACTTCCGGATTCTGTTTCTGCTTCTTTTTGCTTTGGCTTTGCTGTTAACTACCTACCGACTGCTGTGCAGCTCGTCCATCTATTTCAGTAGTAATCTCACCACGATAATCACCACCCCGATTCTATTCCTGCAACAGGAGAAGCGAAAAGAAGATACATACCCATAAATCTATCAAGATGAAGACGACCTTGTTCTTCACCCTCCTCTCGACAGCGCTCTCCCTCGTCGCGGCAGACATTGTCATCACGCCCATCTTTGAGGATCAGATTGTGCAGAAGCAGCCCGGGGATTGCTTCTTCGGGGTTGTCACGCCCCAGGGATGCGGGTATGCTCTCTTTTTTTTCCCTTGCTACTTATGCTTGCTATACGACAGATCGTGAACCTAACTTCAAATCATCAGACCGAGACGAGGATGAATGAACTTTTGCACACACAGACATGCACGTACATCTCGCGGGACGTATGACTTAAAAACGTCAAATCATCCTGCCCGCATCCATACATACCACACATGTTCCCGACGACGGTGTTGGCATCATGAAGCTTCGGCATCACTGAACGAAGGGACACTTGGGTAAATCGCTGCGCGAGAATCAAACATGAGCCCGAGCATGAACGGCACAACCTCAGTCAAATACGGCGTTCTCGGTCTTAGGAGGGGGGGGAGGGGGAGGGAAATCGCAACAATGAGATGACTGGCCTCAGCACTACACCCGACCCGGAGGAGAGGGAAAACAAAATAATCTTTCTCAACTTATTTTTTTTCTTGTGCTTTAGTAGAAGTCATGCTTGCAAGCGTAGAGCAAGTCTTGCGAAAAGGAGCAGTTTCAGATACCCCTAATTTAACTTGTGTTTTATCCCCTTACGTTGCCGCTGCTGCGTGGATGTTTGCAGATAATAGGGCTGTAAGGGTGTAGTCGAGGTCCAGTGTCGTTCTCAACGAGGCTTCGTATCATGGTAATTCGCGTTGATCATTGAATTCATGGACATCCCACATATCCCACCCAAATCGCCCAAAACAAAACTTCTCCTCCATAATAACGCCAAGCACAACCATCAACCATCATACTGCAGCAGTAAGATGACCTCCATTCATGCAAAAAAAGCCCCATGTTCCCTGTCAAAGAGTAATAAAACTTGTCCATCGTCCGACACTTGGCGCCAAAAACATTTCTGAAACCGCCTCGTCAGAGACCCCGAGTTTCGCGATTGAAATAGCATACAAATAGTATTTGCAACTCCCCCTGTCCGCTTTGATCCTTGTCTCGGCTTCTGCAGCAGACTTCATCTGCAACTTCAAGAGTTTCTGTTCGTTCAGCCCTGTCTAGTCTGTGTCATTTCATGTCTCACGGACTCTGTCACGGAGTTGCAATGTCAATCTACTCAACTCACAAATAGAGCTCTTCAGAGTTTGCATCTTCACGGGCAACGAACATGAAAACGGTTCTCAAAAAATGATCCACTGTATACAAGTATACACTGTTCCTAACATCCAATAAGCTACAAATCGTTCAGACAAAAAAAATAAATGTAGAAATCTCCTTCTCCCTGATCCTCCCATGATAGGGCCTGTAAGTGGGCTCCGTAGTGTATCGAATTACAGCCCTAGTACTTTTTCTTCATGTACACATCTCGCAAATGCTCATGATGAGGCCGCAAGGTCTGCAACGCAGGCGGCGATCTGGCTCTGGCAGTCGCTCACCGAGACACCGCTCACTGCCTTGCTGTTGGCGGCGTCAGCGCACTGGTTGTTCTGGATGTCACAGGCGCGCTGGTTGGCAGCATCCTTGGTGGTGAAGGTGTTGCCCTGGACCTCAAAGGGTCGGTCCTGGTTGCCAGACTGGGTGACCGGGGGGGCAGCGATGCCACCGAGGGCATTGGCAGCAGAGGCACCACCCTTTCCACTGGCGGCAGAGACGGTAACGGAGTCGGAGGAGTCGGCAGCGGCAGTAGATTGAGCAGCGGCAGCGTCAGTGGTCTGGGCAGCGGCAGCATCAGTGGTCTGAGCAGGAGCAGTAGCAGCAGCAGTGGTGGCAGCCTGCTGGTTGAAGCCGCCATTACCCTTGCCCTTGCGGCCACGACCACGGCCACCACGGCCCTGGCCGGTTTGAGCATTGCCGGTTTGACCGTTCTGTCCGGTCTGACCATCCTGAGCGTTGCCGGTCTGACCGTTCTGTCCGTTCTGGCCATCCTGAGCGCTGCCGTCCTGGGCATTGCCAGTCTGGCCATCCTGGGCGCTGCCATCCTGACCGTTCTGTCCGTCCTGACCGGTCTGACCATCCTGAGCGTTGCCATCCTGACCGTTCTGGGCATCTTGACCGTTCTGACCATCCTGAGCGTTGCCGTCCTGGCCGTTCTGGCCGTTCTGACCGTTCTGGCCGTTGTTGGGATCGGCAGCGTTGTTAGTGTCGCCACCCTGGCCGTCCTGGCCGTCCTGGCCGTTTTGACCGTTCTGTCCATTCTGGCCGTTGTTGTTCTGGCCGTTGTTGTTCTGGCCGTTGTTGCCGTTGTTGTTCTGGCCGTTGTTGGCATTGTTGCCGTTGTTGCCATTGTTGCCGTTGCCGTTGCCACCAACGGTGAAGCGGACGCAGTCATCCTGAGCACCACGCTGAGCCACGGGCATCAGCACAGGCTGGTGGTTGGCAGCAGAGGACATGGAGCACAGGCGGTAGTTTCCGGCGGGCAGGCCGTCGGTAACGGTGGCAGAGAGCAGACCCTGGCCGTTGCCAGCATCGTTAATACCCTTGAAGAAGACAAAGAGCTTCGGGTCCAAGGGCTGGGTGGGGTTCAGAGAGTCACCGGTGCTCTGGACAGTGACGTGAGTGTGGCCAATGATGTTGCCGTTGCCGTCAACGTCCTGGGGAGCCGCATAGTAGGTGGAGGTGGCGTTGGTGAAGGTGCCCGGGGCAAAGTTGAGCATCTGGACCTGAATGTCGAAGGTGGTGTTCTCGTCAACGTTGTCGCCGTTCTTGGGGTTCACGAAGACGGAAGAAACCATGTTTTCGGTGGAGGGGATGTTGCCCATGGGGATACCATTGCAAGAGCCCGTCCGGACCTGCTCACCGTTGGTGAGAGTCTTGCCCTGGCAGAAGTTGATGAAGTTGGCGTTGTCACTGTCTTCTTGTTAGGCCCCTCTTGAAGCATCCCAATGGAGCTGGTTGTACTTACGTAGCCGAAGCAGACTGGCCATCGGCACCAGGGTTGTTGCCGTCCTGCTGGGAACCGGTCTGGATGAGGTTGGCATCCAGAGTGGTGCCGCCGTTGCCACCATTGTTACCACCATTGCCTCCGTTGTTGCCATTGTTGCCATTGTTGCCGTTGTTGCCGTTGTTGCCACCGCGCTGTCGTCGTTCCAAGGCGCGACCAAAGAGGGATCGTCGTTCGACGTTGCCAGCCTCAGCCAGGACAGCCAGGCCGACGACACCGGCGAGAACGTTCTTGATTTGCATGGTGAAAGATGTGAAGGGGGATTACAAAGGAAGAAAAAGTAAAGGATGTCGTTGAAGCGTTGGTGGGGAATTGGTACCAGACCAGAGTCGAAAGAGAGAAGAAGAAAAGTGTCACAGACACGTGAAAGAAGAAAATGAACGAAAGAGACCGAACAACGACGAGGTCGCTTAGAGGAGTTAGGAAAAGAATGGTTGGAGGATGGAGAGAAGAGAAGAAAGAAGACGGGACAACAGAGGGGGGCGAGGCCATTATAGCTTCGAGACGCCAAGACGGCTGGCGTCAATGCAAACCGCTGACAGAGATACGAAACATGATGTCGGGAGGTCGGCACAGCTAGGGATCAGGGACAGCAGCGGTCCAGTGCCAGAAACAAGAACGGGGATACTATCCACACCCACGAACTGGTGCGGTTCCATGAGCTTCAAACGGTTCGCAACCGATCCGAGGAGCAGAACCAGGGCCAGTGACGGGGGGCCTTTTGTCGTACGGGCAGCCCTGAAGCCGGGGTGGCCCTTTTGGAACGACCAAGCCCGGCGATCAGAAAGGGCATCCAGGGTCGGAATCCCATATCGAGGACGCCGTGTAACCAAGGGCGAGGGCGTTAGCGCTGCCTGCAGAGTCGGGGGCTCGAAACAGACTCTGCGAAGAGACTTGACGCCGCTCTATGCAGGTACCAAGAGATCTCTGGGGCACGCCGGCCAGGGGGCCTTTGTTGCCCGTCGACTAGCCCGCTCAATCCATTGTTTCGGCTCCGTCGTGCCGGCTTTTGGACTGAGAAAGGGGATTCTCTGCTGCTAGCCAGGCCCAGTTATTAACCTACTGCATGAACTACATGGATTAGCGGAGAAGACAAGCCGTTATTACAGAAAAGAACAGAGGCAAGCCAACGTATCAGTCGCAGAGCGGTCATTACCTCGACAGGCAATAGGACGTACAGTGTCACCCGTGCAGTAAGAAACTCCGTCTCCGAAGCCCGGGAATAGAGTTAAGGTATTGTCCAAGCATCTTTCAGGCGCTGCAGCGGCTCAGCAGCCGCGGATGGCACAAGTCGACGGCGCAGCTGCGGTAAAGCACAACCCTGGCGCTGTCGCAGATTAAAAGTACGGATGCCACTGATGCGGCTTCAGGCGTCTCGCATTGGTGCCAGGTGCGGCTGGCCAATGGGGAGCCCTGACCGGCAGCCTCCATGTGGCGCCTCGCGTTTCGGTTGCAGGCCATGGACGGAGACCCGAGACGACAAAGCTGGGGCTCAAGGCACTGGCTGTTTGAGGGGCGGGTTGACGGCTTGGTTCTGTTTTGGTGGCGCAACGGATGGAACGGCGAGGTTTGTTGGCGATGATGGAAGAAGTTGAGCATGAAGAGCCAATTTGGAGGTGCAGTTATTAGGTACCTAGTACTCTTCTCTAGAATGCAGAGGGAAGGAAGGGGAAGCAGGGATAATCCGAAGCGGCTGCACGTGGTTATCGCTGCTTTTGGGAGGTTGCATGTACCTTTCAAGGTTCTTCGGAGCACGGAGCAACTTCATGGCTGGGTTGGAGATGTACGAGGTAGCAGCTCCTTGAATGTTTCCGTCAGTGCACCATCCGTCATCGAATCTGCCACATCGGTAAGGTGGCAGCTGAAGCCTTGATTCACATTGACCATGTCAAACTGGCGATGGCTTTGACATTTCTCTTAGAAAGACCTCATGACAGCTTCAATTGCCCGCGCTTGCTGGCCCGATTCTCCAACCCGGAATAATCTCCGCATCCTCTGTTCCTCCAACTCGAAACCAGTGGCGCAGGGTCATCTGTCAAATAATAATACGGCGAGGAAGGACAAGGAATGAAAAGGAGACGGTAACAGAGACAGGCCTGATTTCAAACACGAAACATTTCACAGGTCGAATTTGACAGCGGGAATAAGTCCACATTGAAAATACAAGGTCTCCTTGCTCCTCGGTTCTTGTCCTGGTCTGCCTATTATCTGTCAAATAGTACAACATGTAAAGGGCTGCAGATGCTTCCTATCCCGTGCCTATACGTCGTACCTCGTACCGCTGCATATGCCCGATGGCATTCTCCGGCGCCTATGCGTATGAAGCTCGGCCATCTCGCAGCCAATCCAGGGCATCTGGGCTACTCTACAGGCCATCGCTGTATCTGCAGGAAAGGCGGCCCATTCTCGCGGCCGTCCATACGCGCACGTATCTCGATATGTACCTACCTACCTCGTACTACTGATAGGTAGTTAGCAATGGAAATAGTATCGTGATTTCGAAGCGCGGTCCTCAGCTCTTGACATGCCCCAGACGGGTATGTACAGAGGCACACGGGTTACGAGACTTGGCATCAATCAATGTCAAACACCCGTCCGTCCAACGTTTCGCCGAGGCTGAACAAAACGGACTCGATGGCCTCGCGAAAGAGAAATGGGGCAATAAAGGAGCACGTTTCATCCAAATCTGTCGTCATGACCCTGGCGAAGGAGCTCAATCGGGTAACTGGGGATTATTCATCTAAACTTCCAGATCTCGCCGCCTTGCCTTCTACCCAAGAGACATCGTACCACCTACCTATTCCCAGCGCCTTTGCACCTCTCTTCAGCCCCGTGGTCTCTATCCTAAGCTATATCCGGGCATTGGCAGAACGACCTTCTGCTTTTATCATCTCCAAGTACCGCTCGCTGCTCCGTATGCAAACACACGTGCACTCCATGAACAAAAAGGGGGAAGTGCTGATGGGGCATCACTTGGCGCTTCAGATTGAACTTGCGGAGGGTTTTGTGAATGGAAACAAAAAGGAAATACCAAATGATTCGGACAAGGAAAGTCTGCAGAAGAAGGACAAAATCCACACAGCTGCCACCCCGTCCTCTCTTGTCCCCCAACGTGAAACAACTCCTCAGCAGCACCGCATCTGAAACTGACATTCACCAAACCCCCGAAACAGCACCTCCCAGCCTCTGCGGTGTCTACCTAGCTGACTGGAGTGAAATACGGCGGCATTAGATTGGAGGGCATTGTATCTACCCGGTCTCACCTTCTTGGCAAAACCAACCCCATATTTGCCCTCGCAAAGTTCTCCTGAATGAGGCCTTCAGGGTGCCGACGCCGAAAGCCTGGCCCTTCCTTTCATTACAAGATACCTAGGTATGAAGACGAGAAGGGAGGGAAACGGTGAAGGTGGAAGTAGTACTACCATCATTCTCACAATTGGTTTAGGAGTTCCTGGCCGTTTCGGAATACCCTGCAGCGGAACGAACAGGACAGCAGACGCCACCAGAAACAATTGTCTTGGCGGTGGTATTCTCCCCGTATATGTTTCCGTGTGCATGACTCTTGATTGAGATTCTACCAGGGTTCTAAGATTGCTATCGATGAAATCCAGTTCGGTGTCCGTATCTGCATCCGAAAACATGTCCGCTCGCTTTCATGTCGTGTATATGACCAACCAGATAGTATGCTTATGGTACTTTCCAACCAAGTTACTCCACACTTGTTCTAAACACTTCCATTCTTACAACTCTCCAACAAAGGGCTTCTCCGTCTCGTCTAGAAGCTCGAGGTCAAACTCATCAAGAGGCTCCTCGGCATAGTCGTCCGTGGGCAATTCGCCGGTATAGCTGGCCTCTCTCTTCTTGTACTCATCCACAATGCGATCGAGCCATGCAGCCATTCGATAACCTGCGCGGGCGACCTGCTTCTCGAGGATAGGAGCCGCCTTTTCATAATACTCGCCGCTTAGTTCCTGGCCGACGATGGCTTTGGGGCCCTCGGGGAAGACTAAAAGCTGGTAAGATAACTTTGCAGTTTGAAGCATACTCAAGGTAGAGCTTACCATATTCGCATACGAGGCTGTTGCATTCCCGCGACCAGGCCATTGCCGTAGCCTCAAAGTCGCCAAAATCCAAGTCTGCCAGCCAAGTCTCCTTCTCGTCGGCATACGCGCCGCCAGTAATTTTCTCGGTGAGGGCAGCAGACCACTTCTGCGCCACGAGATACGGCTTCCCGCGCCCAATCAGCTTCTCCGCAATGGAGCTGTCCCAGACGTGGTGCAGGTTGTAGTCTCGTCCATCCCACTTGACGTGGATGCCGTTTCCGCCCCTCGAAACGTCCTCGTTGTGCAGCGGCTGGTGCAGGTCGCCGACGAAGTGGATGACGAACTTGGCCGCCTGGGCGCGCCGCCACGCCGGCAGCGCGGGATCGAGCGACTGCTCGGTGTAGTTGGCCAGCGCGGTGATGACGCAGCCCGTCTCCTTGCAGTCGCGCTCAAAGTCGACGTTGCACGACTCGGGCGGGTTGTCGTGCGCGTCGATGAAGTGGAACGTGCTCGTGAACCTGCCCCATTTCGTGTATCGGATCGAATCGGCCCAGCTGGCTACCTTGGCCATGTAGTCGGACTCATTGCTGCGCAGGAGCTGCTTCAGGTAGGCCTCGGTCGAGTTGGAGACGAAGTTGCTGGCAATGTAGGCGGTCGTGATGTGGCCGAGACCTGATGCGAGGAAGACGAGTGTTAGACTAGCGTTGATGGTGTTGACAATGTGTGTCACGGGGGGGAAAGACGATACACACCTCCCCAGGCCATAGCCCCCGGCAGGGAGACGAGGCTGAAGGCGACGGCATTTGAGAGCTTCATGGCGCAGATGAAGCCAGATCTGTGATGTAGTACAACTGATGGGAAGATAACTCTATTCGCTGGTTCTAGAACAATCGACGGGATGAAATGGAAGACTGGAGGATGAATGCTGATGTTGATGTAAAGAAAGAAGGCGACGCAGGCAGTGACCAGCCAGGGAGGCCGATCTGAAGCTACCCCAGAAGCTCCCGCACGCGCCCTGAGCCACACGCCAGCTGCCAATCAAAGGGGGTTCAGCCACTGCGTGCTGTCCCTGAACAAGCACTTTGTACCCATGTAGAACACAAAGGGATCACACGCCCTGTATGACCGGTGAGGCTCTGAGAGTGCGTCACCTGGGCGCATGTTGATAAGCCATGTGCCGGCTCCAGGTGGGAAAAGGTCGGTGGTCGGGTAACGCTGGGGCGAAGTACATGTAAGTACTACGGGGCGGGAGAGGAGAGTGTCGTCACTGGGGCTGCGACCTCGGCAGCGCAGTCACTCCTATACTGGAGTACCAAGAACCATGGAGCGATTGACTTTATTACCTAGGTAGAAGGCTTTGGCAGGTGCCTGGCGAGGCTGGCGACCGCATGCAAGAATGATACAAGACGAGAAGTAGGGAGGCCCAGAAGATGATATGCAAGATTTCCATGTCCTGTAGCACAGCGACGTTATCAGACGCTGCAGCCAAGATGCCTCAACTTCATCCCGGTGATGCAATGCAGCGATATCGAGGTGCCCTGTAAGAGTCACGCAGCGCTCGACTCCAGTGGACGGAGCACCTAATGCAGCACCCCATGCACCCCACCCGACAGAATGGACCCTTGATCTGTCTCGTCTCGTGCAAGATGTGGTTTGCGACTCCATGGTTGACCAATGACAGCCCGGTGATTCTTATCGCTGACCCGCGCTAACGACTCTTGCTCCGGTCTCTGGTCGCCCTCAGCAGAATGACTCTAGCAGGGCGGCTGATCTCGTGAAGGCTCCGACCAGCCGAAGCTCTTTGTGCTCTCTCCTCTCTTTGCTCTACAATTCTGTTTGCTCTACAAGCTTTGGCTCTTCTCTTCCTCAAGACACAGAAGGAATCTGTCTCGTCTCATCCGCTACGCTCACTCGCTGCGCTGCCGAATCAACCCGAGTCCTTATCATGGCGTCCCTTGCGATGGCCGCAGTGGGAGAGGCCGCAAAGCAGCTGCCTCTCCACGAGGCCATCTCGGGCATCTTTGGCAGCATCAGCATGGCAGCTTGGATCTGTGTCATTGTATGTGCTGCGCTTGCCGAGTTCTGGCGTCAAAGAGCCTCTCTAACCCCGACAACCACGACAGCTCCCTCAGATGATTGTCAACTACCGAGCGAAGAGCGCCGACGGGCTGAGCATATCCTTTCTCGTCGTCTGGATGATTGGCGATGCTACGAACTTGGTCGGTGCGTATTCTTCATGATCTTGCGATGAGCAAGCCCTTCCGTCGAGATGCCGTGGGCGAGCTAACTCTTCCAATAACAGGCGGGCTCTTCACCCACCTCGCCCCGACAGCTATCGCGCTGGCCTGGTACTTTTGCGTCGCCGACTTCCTCCTCATCTCGCAGTGCCTCTACTACAACTCGGTCAACGCCCGCCGCGCTGCTGAGGCGGCAGAGGCCCACGAAGAAGCGCCCCTGCTTGGAGAGCGTCACCGGTCGCATCGCCGTTCCATCTCCAGCGAGGACGGCGCCAAGATTGCGCCGGCCGGCGACGAGCTGATTGAGCGCTCTTCTTGGTCTTCCAATGCGGCCTGCCTGCTGGGCGTATACGTAGTCGGGTTTGCGGGGTGGTATCTCTCGTACAAGGCTGGAGCGTACAACGAGACGGATCCGGTCGTGTCTGCGCAGCGGCCGTCGGAGCTGTTGGAAAAGATTGGCATGGTGCTGGGGTACTTTAGTGCAGTCTGCTATCTCTGGTATGCTTCCCACCTTGTGTCGGGTATGGAATTGCCAAATGCTAACCTTTGTAGTGCTCGCATTCCTCAGATCATCAAGAACTATCGCGAAAAATCATGCGAAGGTAGGCCGTTTGAGTTTAATCTTGATCGGATCCGTGTACTGATTGCTATTCAGGCCTTTCAATCCTCTTCTTCATGCTTTCCTTGACCGGTAACCTGACGTACGCCATCAGCATCGTGGCGTATTCCCAGGACAAGAAATATATCATCAACACCATTCCCTGGCTGATCGGATCGCTTGGCACCGTCGTCGAGGATGCGACCATCTTTGTGCAGTTTCGACTATACGCCAACAACAAGCGACCCGACACTACCCATGCATAAAGCAGCATGATGATAGGATCCCTCTCGACGGCGGGCGCGTTGCAGAGAAGAGAACTGCATCCCTCGACTTGGCATATCTGGTAGTTACTCGTTTGGATTTAGGTATTTTGGATAAGGCGTCACGGTGTCTTCACATGGCGTTCTGGAAATGGGAATTGTCTGTTGCGTTGACCACTTGGATATAGGATAAAGGCATGATGCGGAGCGAAGAGTGCCGGTTTCGGTAACTTGAATCCTCAGAGATAGATCCTTCAGGGCGCATTAGCATGGGTTGTTCTTGTACTGATTCTATCTGTTTATCCTCTCGTCGAATCGTATCAGAACTCGATTGAGTCATTTTCAATATAAAGTTGCCCTCTTTCGACTTACCTTATGCCGTCTGCTAATCCAAATCTTGGCCAGCGCCATTATCTGCCATTAAAGCTCCGGCACCGCGCAAAAGAAGCCTAGTCTGACGTATAGCGAGGCTCCGATGGCGGGGCAGCGACTCGAGCTCAGCTGCGAGTCAAAAGAAGGCGTTGGTCCCAACTTTTGGAATCGGAACATATTAAGAAAAGTTTTGGCTGCAAGACACTTGATTCAAAATCGTGGTTATTCTACGCGGGATCTGGGCCCGGCTTCTCCTTTATAAAGATCTTTGCAGACCTCGTTGCGTATTCGATACCCCTCCTTTTTCAAATCGACTGCTGCCATTGCGACATCCCGCGTCATCGGCTTCCCTGACCCAAAGTAACCTCGCATCTCGCATCACACAACCGCTGACGATGGCGACACAATCTCCTCGCAAGAAGTGCGGTACGACTCCATTGCCATTGGCCTTCTATTCCCCCAAGCGACAACATTGAAACTGTTTCTAATTGCATCACATCAGGCGTTCTTGGCTGCACTGGCTCCGTCGGCCAGCGCTTCATCCTCCTCCTGCAAGGCCACCCAACACTCCACCTCCACGCCATCGGCGCCTCGTCTCGCTCCGCCGGGAAGAAGTACAAGGATGCCGTCCGGTGGAAGCAGGCCTCACCAATGGGCGAGGTTGCCGACTTGGTCGTGAGGGAGTGTCGGCCGGAGGAGTTCGCGGACTGCGACGTGGTGTTTAGCGGCCTCGATTCCGATGTCGCCGGCGACATTGGTGCGTATAGATATCCATTCGCCTGAAGGTCATCTCATCTACGGGGACAAACTTGCTCACAGAGTGTCACAATGGCAGAAATGGCCTTCCTCAAGGCCGAAATCCCCGTCTTCTCCAACGCCAAAAATTACCGCCGCGACCCCCTCGTCCCGCTCGTCGTCCCGACCGTCAACTTGCCTCACCTCGACCTGATCCCGCACCAGCGCTCCGTCCACGGCCTGTCCAAGGGCTTCCTCGTCTGCAACTCCAACTGCGCCGTCATCGGCCTCGTCATCCCCTTCGCCGCCCTGCAGGCCGCCTTTGGTCCCATCTCCGAAGTCAGCATCGTCACCATGCAGGCCGTTTCCGGCGCCGGATACCCGGGCGTCTCCAGCATGGACATCATGGACAACGTCGTGCCCTTCATTTCGGGCGAGGAGGACAAGCTCGAGACGGAGGCGAGGAAGATTCTCGGCGGCATCGACGACGCCCGCACGGCCTTCATCGAGCAGGAGTCCCTTCGCGTCTCGGCCTCGTGCAACCGCGTCCCCGTCATGGACGGCCACACGGCCTGCGTCAGCCTCAAGTTTGCGCGCCAGCCGCCGCCGTCGCCCGAGGAGTGCAAAGCCGCGCTGAGGGCGTACGTCTCCGAGGCGCAGAAGCTTGGGTGCCCGTCTGCGCCGAACCCGCCCATCAAGGTGTTTGACGAGGATGACCGGCCGCAGCCCCGTCTGGATCGCGACTTGGGCAGGGGATACACCGTCAGCGTGGGCAGGGTGCGGGCCGACGACAGCGGGCTCTTTGACTTGAAGTTTGTTGCGCTGAGCCACAACAGTGAGTTTGCCCTTGATTCCTAATTTCTTCATCCTGTGTTATTGGGACTTGTTCCGGGTAGGTGATGTGGGCTAATCGAGTTTTACTTTCAGCGGTTATTGGAGCGGCTGGCTCATCGATATTGAACGCGGAGGCTGCCATCCTCAAGGGCTACATCTAGGAGTGTTCCGTTTCGGAGATGTTCGTTTTGTACATGTATCGGGTGTAGATAGAATCAAAAGTTAACGGATTATGACTGTAAAAAGAGAAGAGTCAACTTATGGATATCTCCTGCCCACGATGGAGCATTCAAATGGTTATGAAACGTTAGTACGTCAACAAACAGGTCTACCCTACAACCTGTGTTGGAACAAGCAGCCCCTTTCGGTACGAGAAGAAGCAGGCCGAAGGACGCACATGTCACAGATGCGTATTGATTCTGAACATTTATGCCATCGCACTCATGACTCCAACGTTGCCCGAAAGAAGGGGGTTGAACCCGGATGAAGCATGAACTGACACCCTCGAGGTCCAGCGTCAGGTATCATTGACCACAAGTCTTTCCCGGTGGCATGCATTAACGTCCTGGGTATCATTTCGTCATCCTGTGCGCCGTGTAGCTATGCTTCATAAAATGGACCATGACAAGTGCCCCTTCTTTGATCTTCCTCCCCCAGTAGTGTATCCCAGTGTAATGACGTTTCTCCCCTTTCCCCGATGGTTCCTTCGTACAAATATAAAGCATTCATTATAAGGCGTTCGTAACGCTTCAAACAGACCCTGTCCTCCCTTTCTATAATCGCTGCCAATACCATATTACTATTATGTCATATCATGTAGCCTCTTAATGATGCGCTGCCGTGTATCGAGAGTCCAGCCGTCCTGTTGCATTGCCATCAGGCCGGGTGGCACTCGTGGATGACCGTCAGTATGTACTTCGGATCGGGCACTATGACAATCTCTTGCTTCTTCGTTCGCAGTCGCAGTAGCTTCAATTCATCCTGCAGCCCAGGTCAGCGTCTGCACGTCACCCATCACACACACGCCATGCATGCAAGCAATTAAGAAACTCAGGAAAAGGGGGGGAGAAGGCTCGCGAAGCGCCCCCCCCGCCGCGCCCGGCTCGCAAGGGAAAAACAAAAGTCGCGCGCGTTGCATATTACCTCCGTGTCCACGTCCTGCACCAGCTGCCCGGAGCTATTGACAAAGGTCCAGATCATGAGCGCAAACTCCTCGACGCCATGCGCCTCGCCCTCCTCGGCGGCGGGGGCGTCGTTGGAGAAGGAGGCCGCCGTTGACGCGTTGCGCGACTTGGCCGTCTGCAGCGCGTCCACCTGGCCGCTCGTCTTGAGGATCGCGCCGGTGGTCCGGTCCAGGACGATGCTGGCCTTGACGCCCGGTTTTCGAGAGAGGCGGCCGAGTTTCTCCTCGAGAGCGTCGTAACCGTTTGTCTAAAGGGGGGTCGAGGGGGACGGCTCGATTGATTAGCTGGGATGCGCAAAGCAGAGGGGAATAACGAATCAACAGGTAAATAGATGTAGGCTAGGGTGCGCGTACCGTAGGTATTTCTGACATATTGTTGCTTGTGCTGTGTGTATATCTTCGCCTAGAGGTCCGGCATGCGATTCCTGGGTGAGAGCTCCAGAGTTCCGGTAGATGCGACCAAAAAGGCGTCCGTCGGTCCGTCTCTCAGGGTGCGACACAGCGGCGGCGCATTGACGTAGTATTACCTACATGTACCTTAGGTAGTAGCCCACAAGCGCATCGCGGCACCCCGGGATTCTGCCGCGCGCCACCGCCAAAATTTGCAGGCCCACGGACAACGTTCTTGCGCCTACAGCTGCTGTGGAAGGTGGAAAAGCCATTCATCAACGAGCAACGCTTCGAATCATTGTGAAACAGCGCGGTGTCAGCTATATTAAATTCTTCATATTCATTGATTTATACTCTCTAGAGACTGATTCATTCAGAAGTCGCCAAAGATGGGTTCCAGCGCCAGGAAGAAGCAGGAGAAGAAGAAGGATTTTCAGGTGCAGACAACTCACCTGTCCTGCTTGTATGAGCGTCTTGTTGCTAACAATATGCCAGAAACCCAAGTACAAGGTCGGAAAGGCCAAACCAAAGGCCTCAAACTTCACAGACACGAGCTTCAAGTCAAAAGGTACATGAATTTCGACGACCGTTGCGCACACTACATACTCTTGCTGACGGCTACCAGCAATTGTTATGAACCAGCAGTCACTATCAACCGCCGCTCCCGATGTCGTTCAGCAGTTCAAGCACAATCTCTCTCTAGCTTCGTCATCACGGTCTGACAAACAGCGGCGTGACGCCCTGGCATATCTCACCAGCCAGCTCTCCTCCCATCCACCAATAAATCCCGTCGGGACAAACATCCTCCTCTCAAAACTCCTTCCTCTCATCTCAGACAGCTCAACGCCCGTCCGAAGTCAGCTGTTGAAGCTCCTGCGTGTACTCCCCGAAGAGGAAGCCAAGCACAGCACCGAACAGGCCATCATGTTTATTCGGGCTGGCATGACGCACTTGTCTGCAGATATCAGCGGAGACTCCCTTGGGGTTATGGAGTGGCTTCTTGACGTGGCTGAGGATGAGCTCGTCACCATCCCTGGCGGGTGGGTCAAGACTCTGAGCACATTCTGTGTCACCATGGGCTGGTCTCTTGCATCGACTGTTCCTGGCTGGACCTCAGCGGCTCGAAGTAGTCTTCGTGCCAAGGACGCTCAGACACTCGCACGTCAGATATCTATACTATCCAGGTTCCTCCAGGCTGGACTCAGATCAGAGACGGCAGCTGTTCCTAGTTCGGAAGAATACTGGGACAGCTTCTATGGGCTGCCCCGTTCCTCAAACGCCTTTGAGTATCTCAACTTATTCGGTTCAAGGCGCGACGAGGAAGGGGAGATGTATCCAAATCGGGAAGCAAGGCAGCAGGTCTTCTATCGGAGATTCTTCGAGCCCGTCACGAAAGGCATCGAAAAGGTCAAGAAAGAAGGCGGAGCGGCGGGGAGAGCAGCTGTTGGGCTTGATCAAGTGCTGAAGGATGGGATGGGTGATTATGCTGCCTCCGCTGGGATGGATGCTCAGGACCTGTTGAACCTGTGGTAATTGTGTTAGCTGATACCCTCTTCTGTATGCATGTGTTCTTGGAAATACAGACCACCACGTCACCATGCTCCCTCGGCTCCCTGCAGCATATCTATTGGGAAACCCATCTATGGTCATCCTTTTGATGAAGATATTTTCTGTAGTTTGCCATATATGGTCACGCTGACAAGTCTTTCTACCTCTCTCTCACTCAACTATGCTGTCATGCATGTACTAACCCGCCCATAGCGGGCAGTGACAGCAATGATATCGATGTCCTCGCTTAGAGTCTGTCATCTGAAGGAGTATGAAGCAGATATTGCTAGAGTACCTATATCAACTCAAAGTCTGATAATGAGTAGTCAGAGCCTCCTTAGAGAAATCTTTATAATAACGTAGCTGTCGACGAGAGTGTAATTTCCGTCTAGTCTTCAGGCCGGCGTCTCCCTTTCTCAAGACGAACCGTCTTTTATTGCATGATAGAGGGCTGCCCGAGAGTGTCCTGACACAGACAACAAGGCAACATACCTACTGGTGAGAGTGAAGTAAGGCATCAATGAATTCCTCAACTACGCATGCAGCCTGGCTTTCTGCAGAACACCACACCGACCAGCAGTGCGTCATCAAGATCAAGACCCCTGATACATTAACAAGTGGCAAATCTCAGAAGTCACTTGGTCCATAGACTGAAAGCTTGGTGAACAGTGCCTTTGAATACACTTGTCAAGCTCTTTTGTCCTGTGCTGCCGCCCCGAGCAAGAGGTTCGTTATCAAGATTATCGCTTGAGTGGATTCCCTCCTTCCTATAGGCCTCTCACTCCCCTATTCCTCTCGCTTCGTCTATCTCTAGGCATCCTCCTCGCGCTGAAGCCTCCTCCTCAGTGCTCTTCGTCCACTAAAGGCTGCACATCTCTAGCAGTTTCCTCCTTCTTCGAGAGAACCTTGAGCGCACGTGCCGTTGCTTCTGCCACCTGCCTCCTCCAGCAGAGCCTTCACCGCCCGCTGGCTTTATCAGTACCAGCTGCTTCTTACCACCTCTCTGACTTTCCTCTCTTCCTGCTCTTCTTCTTCCCTTCAGCCCCCCTCATCTCTTGAGCGAAGAGATCGAGATCAAGATCCCATCCGCGAAGCACTGGTATCCGGGCTGACTTTCATCAAAGCCGGCTACTTCTCTCCTTTTCTGTCACTCTGTTTCCTTGTCTTCTTTTTCTTTTCTGCAACTCGTTGATCTCTCAGCCAGAGAGCCATTCTGTCGATAAAGTTGTAGCACCTGAGTCGCATTCCATCAAGGTAAGTGGCTCCATCTCGTCCTCTATCCTCTATTTCAGTCGCCGTTGGTCGTTTGGACTGTTGTGCGATCTGGTTCCCTCTCCTCAGCATGATACTACCTCATTATTCCGCTGTCCCATGCTGCGCTGTCTGTGCTGCCGTTTCTCTGTGCTCATCGGCGCAGCTTGCTACTCATGTTTTGTTTACTGCATACAATTCCTCAAGTTGTCAAAAATCATCGCCCAAGTCATAGGCTCCTTTCTGTTGTCTATCGTCTTTCCACCTCAACCTCACTCAGCGTTTAGAAACTTCTCACTTGCTGTACCTCATGTTTTTCGTTCTTGTTAACGTCGCTTCCCAAACTAACGCTTCTCTAGTGTTTCAGCGCCTGTGTCCCGTCCAAGATACTCCAAGTCAATCATGGCAATTCCTGAGAACGGCTCGGTCGTTGACGATGGCGGCCAACCCGCCCCTCCCGGCTGGGTTGAGCGCACTGCGTTCGACTACACGGCCATGGCCGGCCCCCAGGCAGGCTCTACCTGGGACGGAAACGCTCGTGTATACGCCTGGAGTGACGAATACGGCGATGTCGGTCCTGAGATTGCTGAACTCGAAGCTGAGTTGTTTGGATCGCCTGAGGACCGCGATCAGCGTATCGGTGGTGGTCTTGATTTCTCCGCGTCAGTCCCCCCTCCATTCAAACACATAATCATGCTAACCCTTTACGCACAGTATCGACAGCATTGAGGTCATTCAGGAAGGCCCCCAGCGGATTGAATACATCAAGACCTTTGAGGATGCCGGACTCCATCCTGTTATGGCCAAGAATGTTGAACTTTCGGGATATCAGGTCCCAACCCCAATCCAAAAGTTCACCATCCCAGCCATTCTTCAGAGCTATGATGTGATTGGCATTGCTCAAACCGGTGAGTCTATATCCCTGTCACTCTTATATCAGTGTCTAACATCTTCGTCAGGTTCGGGAAAGACCGCCGCCTACCTTATTCCGATCTTGAGCAAGTTGATGGGAAAAGCGAAGAAACTCGGGGCACCTCGTCCCAACCCTCTCACGTTTCAGGAGGGTATTGACAACGTGACCGCAGAGCCGCTTGTCGTTGTTGTTGTGCCAACTCGAGAGCTGGCCGTGCAGATCTTTAATGAGGCCAGAAAGCTCTGTTACCGGTCGATGCTCCGTCCCTGTGTTGTTTACGGCGGCGTTCCAATTCGCGAACAACTGGGACTTCTTTCCCGCGGGTGTGATGTTCTGATTGGTACCCCTGGTCGCCTCAAAGACTTTATCGGACGCCCTGACAAGGTGACTCTTCGTCGCCTCAAGTACATGGTGATTGATGAAGCCGACGAGATGCTGAACCAAGATTGGGAGGACGAACTTCGCCCCATTCTCTCTGGAGGAGGCAAGTTCTCACTTATGAAAGCCTTTCATGGATGTTGTTTACTGACGAGTTCTAAATACAGAGCAAGATGAAGGCAATGTCAAATATGGACTTTTCTCCGCCACGTTCCCTCGTGCTGCTCGAACCCTCGCCAAGGAGTACTTGTCTGCGTCCCATGTGCGCTTTCGAGTTGGCCGAGCTGGAAGCACGACGGTCAATATCAGGCAAATGGTTATCGAGACCAGCCGGGAGAAGAAAAATGAACTTCTGCTCACGCTCCTCGAGGAGATGAACGGGGTCCGCACCATCATCTTCGTCAACAGCCGCCAGGCTGCCGACACACTCGACGACTTCCTCTATAACATGAAGCTCCCCGTCACTTCCATTCACAGTGACCGGACTCAAGTTGAGAGAGAGGCGGCCATGCGAGCCTTTCGAAGCGGCCAAGCTCCAATTCTCGTGGCCACCGGCGTCACGGCCCGCGGCATTGACGTCCGCAATGTGATGCACGTCATCAACTATGATCTGCCCTCCATGGAGTATGGCGGTATTGAAGAATATACTCATCGCATCGGTATGCTTCCACTGTTTTGACTACCTCTTAGTTGACAATGGCTGACCTTTTGACTAGGTCGTACTGGTCGCATCGGTCACCGAGGAGTGGCCACCTCCTTCTTTACCGATCGAGATGAGCCTATTGCAAGCGTTCTCACCAGGACCTTGTTGGAAACCAAGCAGGAGATTCCCGCGTTCCTGCAGCAATATATCCCAGAGAACTACGCTGAGGGCAACAAGGTGAAGTTTGAGACGGAGTCAGACTTTGATCCCAATGACGTTGCGGGTGCTGGAGATGCTGCGGGAGGTGGCTGGGGCGGAGACGACGCCGGCAACGCTGGCAACGCTGAGTCTGGCGCTGGCGGCTGGGGTGGAAACGACAATGCCAACGCTGATTCTGGCGGCGGTGGTTGGGGTAGCGGCTCTGCAGCCAACAATGATGCTGCGAACTCTGGAAGCGGCTGGGGAGCTGCGGCTTCCGGTCCTGCTGCATGGTAAGGACTGAAGACTATTTGCTACGCTGCTTTGAGCAGCTGTTTCGGGACGGATTTTACTAGGGCAAATGGGCAAACGGGCAAACACAGGGCATAGGGATTACGGTCATGAAATTTCAAGTCTCTGGTATTTCAAGTCTGACGAGATAGTGAATGGTCTCGAGACCGTCTTGAATGTACCTCGAGGAATATATGGATTCTTTGATAGTTGGCCAACATTGACTCGTGATTCGACGTACTGTGACTATTTTCCTTGTTGCAGACGTATTGCAAAAGGAGTAAAAGAGGCAACTGTAAGTTGATCGGTTCATTATGTGTTTCCTCCTCGACCCATTCTTGTCTATGAGAAGTATAGGTAGGTATCTTTGGAAACTATATAACATATAGACTTGTGGTGGGTTTTCATTGTACCCCATCCAGTTAAATATACTTGGCCCAGTCATCTATTCCCTATGAGTGAGTACCTAGGTATATATCTATATATATTTCGGCATGCCTGTACGTCTACATGTTCTTCAAGATCTTGGTCAGACCAGCAACCTTGGTGGCCAGCGCCCCGTAGCCCAGCTCGACGACGCCCTGCGTGAAGCGCCACGAGCGGTCCTGGTTGGGAACCGGATACTGCACGGGGGGCGGGATGGCCGTCTTGATGCCGAGCCAGCCGAAGCGGTCCTCGCAGACGGCCTTGATGTTGCAGAGGCCGCGCAGGCCCTCATCGCCGGCGAAGCGTCCGTAGCCTGAGCCGGCGACGCCGCCAAAGGGCAGCTGGACGGCGTAGTAGGCGGCGAAGTCGTTGACGGCGACCATGCCTGCCTTGAGGCCGCGGACGATGGGCTTGAGGGCCGGGTCGCGCTCGGAGGCGTGGACGGAGGCGCCGAGGCCAAAGTCGGGGGCGTTTGCGACGGCGAGGACGTCCTCCGGGAGAGAGGAGCGGGCGCGGAGCATGGTGAGGACGGGGGCGAAGCACTCGGTGCGGGCGATGCGCATGTCCGGGGTGACGTCGACGAGGAGCGTGGGCTGGAAGTAGTGGCCGCGGGGGTAGTCCGGGTGAGCGAAGCGCTTGCCGCCGGCGAGGAGGCGGGCGCCCTGGGAGACGGCCTCGGCGATGAGGCCCTCGAGGCGGGCGAAGGAGGCGTCGGAGATCATGGCGCCCATGTCGGCGTCGGGGCCGAGGCGGATGGCCTTGACGCGGGGCTCGAGCAGCTGGACGAGGCGGTCGTAGACGGGGCCCGAGGAGATGACGCGCTCGATGCCGATGCAGTTCTGGCCGGCGGCCTGGAAGGTGCCCCTGAGGATGACGTCGACGATGCGGCGCAGGTCGCCGGCGGCGGACTCGAGGACGATGAAGGGGTCCTTGCCGCCGAGCTCGGCGACGACGGGGGTCAGGCTCTTTGCGGCGCTGGCGGCGACGTGGTGGGCGACGGCCTGCGAGCCGATGAAGGTGATGTGGCTGATGCCCGGGTGCGACGTCAGGTGGCCGGCCGTCTCGGGCCAGCAGACGACGGTCTGGACGAGCCGCGGGTCGTGGCCGTGGGCGACGAGGGCGCCGCGGGCAATGTCGAGGAAGTGGCGGCTGGACCAGGCCGTCTGCTCCGAGACCTTGACGAGGATGGCGTCGCCGGCGAAGAGGGCGCTGACGATGGGGCCCATGAGGTTGTGGAAGGGGTAGTTCCAGCTGACGAGGGCGGCGACGACGCCCAGCGGCTCGTAGTGCACCGTGTTGCGCTTGTACGCCATGAGCAGGTTCGTCGGCCGGCGCGACGGCCGCAGCGCGCGCTCGCCGTGCGCCAGCGTCCACTGGATCTTCTCGACCGTCACCAGGATCTCGCCCAGCTGCGCGTCCACCATGGTCTTGCCGCTGTCCAAGCCCGCGACGCGGCAGATCTGCTCGGCGTTGTCCATGACGTGCTTCATCAGCGACCGCAGCACCGCCTTGCGCTGGTCAAACGTCGTCGCGGCCCAGGCCTTTTGCGCTTCCGCTGCCGCGGCCACGGCGGCGTCGATGCCCTCTTCCGTCGTGGGCTCGACGGCGCCGAGGAACTGGCCTGTCGCGGGCGCGTAACACTGGATGGCGGAGCTGCCGGGGATCCTGATGCTCGTGTGCTCGCCGACGACAACGGAGGAGGAGGAGGAGGAGGAGGAGTCCTTCTTCTGCTCGGGGATGAGGGGCGGAGGGACGACGTAGTGGCGCGGGCGCGAGGCTGTGGCGGCTATGGCGGCGGCGCTGGCGGTGCGGACGATGAGGCCGCAGATGACGGTCGCGACGAGGGCGATGGATGCGTGGATCGCAGCTGGTCTTTAGAAACGTGGTTAGCTGGCATGCGTGGTGCTGTGGATGGTATCAATAGTAGGTAGACAACGCACGAGATGTCGAGCTGGGAGCCCAAGCGGGCGCTCACGGCGCCGACGAGCGACACGAGCTGCTCCACGAGACGCTCCATTGTCTGGTTCTCCTGTCTCGCATCCGCCTACAAGGACCAAGCTGGGGACTTGCAGGCAGAAGGGAGAAGATGAGAAGAAAGAGAACAGGATATAAGAGGGAATAGAGGGACAAGGAGGAAGAAATCAGGCGATGCGCCACCAGAGCGTCGTTCACGGTTCAGGTACCGGCTGTGGGGCTGATCCAGGGGTTCCCTGTCGGCAAATGAATTGGCCAATCGTTGGTGAGGGACGTCACTCACTCAGCCTTGTCGAATCATAGGTATCTAATAATACAACTACCTACTGTAGGTGCATCTGGTTCACAGCCTACGAGTTGATAGGTAAGGCAAGGCATGCTCTCTCCATGATACTTCACCCAAGCACACATATCTGCAATTGACTACCGGGGATGGTGGCCACATAGGGATCCGTACCACTGCAGGCACGCGCAAAAGTAACTGTAAATGGAGCGTGTTCGCTACCTTAACTCTCAAATCTAGTTTGCAACAACAAAGACCTAAAGCCAGCCAGGAATCGAGATCATAACGAGCCATCTGAAAGCAGGAGTCACGAAGTGAACAAGAAAAAAACACAGATATATATCTCAAACAGTAGAAACAGTAGAACCACGAGAAAAAGAACAGGAGGAAGTGACAAGAAGCAACAAAACACAGGACCCCGTTGTTCTCCCTATACCCCTTCTAACGCCATGCATTCAGAAAAGACACAAGACACGAAAGGGCAGGCCGTCCTTTCCCCGCCCTCAGGTGCTTTTTTTTCCATGTCAAAGAAAATGGTCAACTCCTTCTCCCCCCCCGTTCTCCCCTTTCCTTCCTACCCAGAAGGCCTCGTATCTTCCTTCGTCTCGTTTCCTCCTTCACCTCCTACCGATGAGACGGCAGGTCGTATCTATGTGTGCATGTGTTACACAATCACACAGATCAGACTCCTTTTGAAGCGTTTTGGTAGAAAGATTTCTTTTTTTTTCTTTGTTCGTCTTCCATTTGTGTGTTGTTGCAACAAGTGTAGTGTGTTGCGTCAATGCACGTCCATATGCGGACGGCATCAACAAGGAAAAAGCGATTGGTGACGGCATTTCATAGATCGCTCATGCAGATCGTCGAGGCATGACATGAATGGGTCCGATGCAGATGGTGAAATGCAAGAGCATCTCGACAGGCAGGGGGTTGTGTTGGTTGTGTCTTGACAGTAGTGAAAAGAAAAGAGAGGGAAAAAAAAAAAAGAAACAGGTATGAACTAAAAGTGGGAATATAGAGACTGTATCGTGATGTAAATATACAACGAAAGGCAAAACAGGGCGCATTATTTTCATGTCTCTCTCTTCTCTCTTTCAAAGCACACAGCCCATCACATTCTATACATTGGCGCTCTTGGTCAATGATAGCCCGCGCAACCGTGACGTGAGGCCCGTGGTGGCGTGGGAGCGACTTGACTCGATGCGAGACAGCCGTGCAGCAGACGTGAAGTCGCTGCTGGCCTCATAACTGTATCGTATGCGGTCCATCGACTGTCGCATGCGATCATATGACGGCCTTGCGCGGTCTATGCTCGGCCGGGGTTGCTGCGCTGGTACTTCAAGAGAGAAGCGGTTGCCCGTATAATTAGTGCTGTCGCTGCCCGTCTGGCTGTGGTGGTTCTGCGTTGTTGTTCGCGTCACCGTTGACGGAGGGTAAATGGGCCGCAGATCCTCGTCCACGCTGGCATACTGAGCGTGCTTCGCTCGTGAGCTGCCGGACGACTTGGACTTCTGGCTCTTCTCGTCACCAACTGCTTCCACCGCGGTGCTCTCTGGCTTGAGGTGAGAAAAGGCGCCCATTCTATCCTGTTCTCGGATGATATCCACATCGTAGGGGAAGAAGACCTTCTGCAGGGACTTGATGGCAAATCTTGGGAAGAGGCAGATGACGGGAACGAGCACGAAGACGGCCCAAAAGGTGGCCTCGCCGTATACCTCCTTGGCAGCCCCGTAAAACTGATCAGACGAGGTAAACGAAGTGTAGATGCCGGTCCAGAAGAAGATGAAGATGTCGCTGAGTGCCACGATAAGCAGCATGAGCCAGTCCCATCGATACGTGTTCAGCAGGATGTAAGCGTTGATGGTCAGGACTGCGGGGTGCGCGACGTAGGCTCCGAGTCGGTATCGGTCATCCAGCCCCAGGCCGTTCATCGTCACGGGACGTGCAGGTCGGAAGAGCAGATACGGAATGTAGAACACCATGACGGACTGATAAATACCGTCCAGCATGTATAGCCTGTGCATCGTTAGCCGTTTGTTCGCGGAGCAATATGGGGTTGTAGCCAAAAAGGGGGGAGAAAACTCACCAAAACTTCTTCTGCGTCCATTCCAGTCGTTCAATGCCACGGCGATAGAGCTGCGGCACGGCC